GGAGAACTGCGACTGCAGTTACTAGTGTCAAGATACTGAAGGTACTTCCGAAGATAATGGCAGTGCGGTCTGAGGGGGTGAGCAGCATAAAGTTCGTTGTACCACAATGAATGTTTATGATCTCGGAGTACGATGGGTGCCGTTGAAGAGGCTGGCTGTGGGCACCTGTGGAATAGTGAGCGGGCTAAAAGGCAAACCTCAAAAACCCACACACACACTCACACAACTACACAAACTACAATCACCCTCATAAGTTCTAGGGGGAGCGATTATTTCTAATGCAATCCAACTATACTTCAATATCTCGAAGAGTTTCTCTTATTCTCAGCACTCTTAGCGAAGCTAAGCTTTCTCTAATGAATTCCTAAGTCTAGGAACTTTTTACAGGAAGGTCGTTCACTGGTGCGATGCAACCTTCAAGGCAGATTTGAGTTATAATATACAAGGGACACTGATCCCAACAGAAACAGAGGCAATACATGCTGAAACTTTAGTGAGCTCGCTAAAAGAACACCACAGGCAAGCACTGACTTAGCCCGCTCACTACACAACTGTATGTAGGGGTTCTCCAACTAACTCCAGCAGGTTATCTCAACTCAAGAACACTTCAGAAGCGCTCGGAAAACAGATTCAGAAACGGAACTTTGAACAGAACTGACATGGAACAGACTGAAACAGAACAGAACAGAACTCAGATTTCCACTTCAACACATTCTCCAAACAGACTTATCACACTTAACAGAACAGAAACAGCATCACTGATTCATATTCACTCTGACTAAGTTCTCAAAAGTCTTATCAAAAGGGTATCTCGTATTTCTCTGAGTGAGCTCGCTAATCCTATGCACAGCTCAAAGTCACAAACTGATCCTTTGTTACAGTACCACCTTCAACGCGTGCACGGGAACTCAGGGGCTCAAAACTTGGCCTCTACCTACTGTAACCAGCCTACTTATACTACAGGGGAATTAGAATTACAAACATCGCGCAGTACCCAGACTCCTACATGCATAGCATGTTGCCACCGCCACCTTACTGAGCATCCGAGTCGGACTTCCCAGTTTTAGTCTCATTTCTATAGTGAGCTCACTAAATGTGTGCCAAGAGGTGCCCTCCTGACACCCGTGGGCTTGTTCTCTAGCGACTGACAGGTCTAGGCATACAGAACTATCAGTTCTGGCATATGTCGTTCAGGACTTCTTTCTTGGATTCACAGAGGCTTCTCGTAGACACGGCAACAAGTGAGTCTTCAAACAATGGGACTCAGAACAATGGAATGTGGGCTCGCAGACTTCAGCCGAAGCCCATTGCCCAAGCTTGTGCCAGTGATATCTGTCAGCTCGCTTAAGGATTTCCCTGGATTTTCAGGTATGGTGCGTCACAGTTAGTGAGCACGCTAAGTGTTCTCAGTGTCAGTGCAATCTTCAAGGTTTTATCTAGCTCCCGCGAGTGTGCTTGTAAGTTAGAGCCTAAGGCATTGGGTATATGGTTTGGCCTTCTCATCATGCATGCCCGTCAGGTACAGTGCTGTGACTAAGTCCTGTTTAGAATCCTGTTGCTTCTTATGCCATAAGTTATATTCCATATCATTGCACTGCATAGCATTAGTGTCAATGCATAGTTTTAGTCCACTCGCTCACTATCTCTCAGTATGCATGTAAAACACTCTAGATTGCAAAATTACATGTGTAAATAGGCTGCAGTTGCAACACCGTTTTTTTTAGATAACAGGCTGAAGGTTTCTTTTCTTTGGAAGTATAACAGTGACTGCCTTGAAGCAGTACAGTTACCATTGACAATGGTAAGGGTAGTAAGGGCAAGCTTCGGCTAATTGTTAAGCACTAACTCGAATCTACTCCAAGGCTGATCTCTATCCTGTCACTCGCATTCAGTGATTCAGTGTTAGAGAGGCATTGGTTGATTGCGAGAAGTTAGGCATTACTTTATAGCGAAAGCAAGGAGCCTGTAAGAGTTAGGAGTATATAACCTTAGCTGAAGCTGGGGTCTAAGGCCACAGCGTAGGCTAGCTTAAATACATGTTAGACTCATACTAAGAATAGTATCTACAAGGGCGTGTGCAGTGAGAAGTGTGTCGTTTAGCGAATGAGGAGTGAGGACACTAAAAGAAGTGTACTCCTGATGAATGAGAGTAAAGAGCACATATCACCTGCATCTGCGTGGGACTCCGTCTGAATAGGCTGCATCCCGTAGACCACCCTCGACTGGCAGTCAACTCTCATCCAACTACTAAGAAGCATGATGCCATCAAGAGAAGCATGATGGTGCATGCGGGTCATTGGTCATCTGGGGTGTGGCAGCTGTGAACTGGGGTGACGGCAACCAGGTAAACAGGTAAGGAATATGCTGGTGGAATATCATGGGTCCAAGAGATAAGATAGGCAGGTCTGGGGTTCTGAGGGATAAGGATAAGATAAGATAAGGAAAATAGGAGTAAAGTCGTAATACTTTGCCACAGCAACACAGCAGCCCAAAAGTCTATATGTTGGCAGAATTCTTTTTAATCACTAAGACTATATGTGTTAAAACTGTATGGGTGCTGTTACTTTCAAAGGTTGAGAGCATGCATTTTGTATCATTTCTTACCAATCTATGTACTATGGACTTACTAAAAACTCATTTCAAGTATTCTAATTTTATTCCAGACTTGTAGTATAAAAGCTAGTGTAGTAGTAGTTACTAAGAGAGTTAACAAGTTATCAGACACCAGTTATCTAACACACATTATCAACCACTGCTACTGCTTGTACTAGCTAGGTGATAGACAATACAGCTCTGTCACTCCAAACTTATACTCTTTATCATGGCTTTCTTCTAATGATATTAGTGTATGCTCATATTGCACCAATACATGGAATTTTGTGTCCACAACTTGCTTTTACCTTTTATTCCACCAGCATTGTTTCACTTTCACCAGCCAGGATCATTTTATCAGCTTTCACTTTCTATGTTGCCATTGTTTTACCCCAGCTCAGTTCAGTATAGTTAGATCCCTGTGTGGACTAGGATTAGGATTGTTATTGCTGCCAGCAGCATCTGTCATGGAATTTTGGTCAACAGCATAGGATCATCAGTCACAGTATTTGGTATCTTGCCATCAGCTTCAGTATAGGATAGTCTCCATGTAGACTCAGGATCAGTATCAATTTTGTTTACTGCAGTTAACCTCTGCCAAGTTTTAGTTTCATCATCACCCAGTTCCGCTCATTGTTTTGCCACCACTAGTTCCCTCTTCATATTTCTGCCAGCACAGTCTAGCCTTTGTTTTACTGCCAGTCTCTCGTCTACAGTTCTCATTTATTTCTGCCATGGTATTTGTTATCTTGCCACTGGTATTGCTCTTTGACAGCATTGTCATTAATTCTGCCAATCTCGCCCACAGCTTTTACTAGTTAATTGCCACCACTTTGTTCATGGTTTGCTGGTATTCCCAGTTATACTGGATTCTGTTCCTTCTTGTACATCAAGACCCTTCCCAGCTTACAGCCAATGTTTTTTAGTACTCATTCGTTCAGAGTACTACTTCACTGACTGAAAAGTTGCAGTGTATACTTGCATTCTTGAGGAATTCATTGCATGGAGGTGCACTGAAACACTCGCACAACAACAAAAGCCTTTATGCCACTATGTGCCATTGGTCATAAACTCCTCTAGAGTTTTGGTTTTTGCCATTGCCATGGAAGTATAGGCTCATCAGCGAACAATGACAATAATGAGGATACTTTTCTGTACCTTGACTGATGTATCATGGGTGCAATGAATGCACCCAACATCATAGTTCTACTGCCAGCATTATGCCCACTGCTACCAATCCTGCCCACATCCAACATTAGCCTACCCCACTCCACCCAAATATTCTGGGAACCCCTGGTTCATGCATCACCCATTCTTTGGGTGGAGAAATATGAATTTGTTGTGTGCTAGGCCCCCCAACCCTACCAACATCATGCATTGTCACCCATTTCCCAGTCCTGCCTTATCACCCATTGTATCCCACCTACAACCACTAGAACCTTGCCACCCTCATTTTCAATATTGGGGAACACAATGGTGAGGTTCTTTCTCCTGCCTGACCCTGCTGTTGCTGTCAATAGCATGTCGAACCCATCCTGCCATTTTTTCCCCTCCCACCAACACCACATTGCCCTTGATCTCTCTAAACTATCCCTTTTGATGCCAAAGAATGTTACATCTTCATTGACTCTATGCACCAGGGTCATTATCCCCACCTGGCTCTGCTATGCCATTTGCTGTGACCCCACCAGATATGTACTCATCTTTAGCTGCATCCAAGCTGCATATAGTACCAAATGAGTTACTGATTGCCCTCAATATCACATAATATCTCTTAAACATGCCTTACCAGATGCAAAGCTGAGACTCAACATAGCTGATGGCAGGATACAGATATAGCATTGGGTTTGCTGGATGATATTATAAGGCATACTATATTATATATGGTAACCATGATGTCATATGGTAGGTAGGTTGGGTGCTGAGAGCTGTTAAAAGTTTTTTCGATGTTGTGTACTAAATTCCAAAATCGGTGACCCTTTGTAGTCCAAATAATCTCAAACCAATCCAGCTCGTTTGTTCCACTAACATTTTGGGTCACATTATAAATAGGTTATATAATATATTTCAGGCCTAGATGATATTTTGCAGATGCTATGAATGCCTAGAGAGCATAAATTTGACCTAAATGTTATTTTATTCATACCAGGTAATATGCTGCTGGATGCTTGCTAAAATGTGGCTGTGTCAAACGATTCTGATTTGGCAAATGACTCTAGTAGGTCTTTTGACCTGCCTGCCATTTGCCAAAGCCTGGAGACATGGGGTGCCAACCCCACCACTGCCCCCACCTCAGCAGGAGGAATGAGCCTCACTTGAACATGCCAGAGAGCTCAGTAAACAAGCAGACAAGGCTGTACATTTCCTACTTTTTGACATATCACAATGCTGAATCTCTTTCCTCTTAGATGTCTGACTCAGTGTCTGAAGCTACACTCGATTCTCTCATGGCAACTATAATTGCAGCAAAGAACGTGTGTTGATATTTTCATTCTTCAAGACCTGGCTCTGGACTGATGTGTTCCTAGAAACTCACAGAATGTCATGCCCAGCAGGAACAAGAGAAGAAGCAAGCATTGGAAGCAAACAAGTTTTCCCCTTGCTATGTCTGAGTTTTATCATTGGCAATGGGAGTGGATGGCACAGGCTAGGCTCTGACTTGTGGTACAAGTCATCTCTGTTCTGTTTTGTTCTTAGTTCTGATTCTTGATCTTCGCCACTAGCATGCATCCTCGATGCCCTTCACATCTGTGTCTCTTAAAAGCACGTGCACAAGTCATTGAGTGCATTCAGGATAGCGGTTCATATATGTCTTGTTCATGGGATGGCAGCATCACTAGATTGACATGGGAGTCAATATGGTTTTTCTCTGATGAGTGTAATCTTAAATTTTATTTTATTTTATTCTGCTTTTTTTCCTAACAACATGGCAGGCTACTCAGCAACTCAGTATGGACCTACTGAGACACAAGCTACCTCGAAGATGCAATGATAGGCCCCAAAAATGCTTTGCGCATTGGTGTCACTGCCATCCCTGCACTACATTTCAAGTCCTAATTTCAAACTTGTATCCTCTATTCACAGTGAAAACACATGCTACAGCCATGAAAGTTTGTTATCCATCCTTCTCATCATACCAAGTTCTTAAGGTCCATTGCAACATTTCAAGAGATGGGCATATCCAAGAAAATTACTCTCAAAAATGATGATTACACATGAGTACACCCTGTCCCATCTGTTCAATCAACAGGTGCTTAGAGTGCATTTATGTAGAGGGACTATGGCAAAGTAATTCCACCAAAGATGCGCTTGCAGTTGAACATCATGTAGCATTTTTAATAGGCATCTTTTCTGACCCAATATACACTACTGATGACTGGCCTAAGATCTTAACTGACACACTATTGCCCAAGTATCCCCTGTGCTTTACCAGTGAGGAAAAGAAAGACATTTTAGGTTCAGCAGACTTTGCCATTGATTGCTACTGTTCACAGTTCATACAAGCCCCGGCAGAAGGTATTGATGCTTGTGTTGCCAATACCTCCCACCCACTGTGTATGGCTTGTCTGCAATGATCCGGTGTCTTATGACTCAAGCTATGGCTGAGCTAAGGGTCCCTCATCTGATTTGTTGTCATCCTGGCTCCAGGCAACATCAGTAAATGTCCGTGCTTTGTTGAAGGAACTTCACACATGGTGAGCAATGAAGGTGACAAGAAAAGAAGTAATCAAGATGACAAAGGAAAATGCATGTGCAACCCTGAAGGGGAATATTCAAGGAGTAATCAAAAAGCACAGCCACCCCAGAAGGCTCAGGTTGCATAGACCAAATCCTATATACACACAACTCAGAACACATTCATACTGAAGTTCCGACCTAATGATCAAGTGCTTCCTGAAAGATATCCGTTCTCATGGTGAGGCTTACTAGGCAAAACATGAACCAGCATGAATGATCATCAGCTCCTTAGGCCCTGGGTTCTGTTGACATGTGTGCAATGCGTGCATACATGTAATTTTGCGAATTCTGTGAATCCAAACATGTGTCAATCCACTAAGTAATATTAGAGTGCATACCTGGCATGGAGCAACACCTGTTGAGGCAGAAACAGCATATAATAAAATAATCTGAGTGGAGCGCATGGCTTAGACTTAGAGCAGCACACTGGTGTCACCTAAGTGTGAAGTCTCAGTTCCCTGACTCACACCCTATGCATCCCTCAGCAGCGTCTCACTCAAATAAAATACACTGAGAAGATAATATATTTATGGAGCTTCACACAACATTGGTCTATGACATGCAAACCCTGCCGATCTGGCAATCACTGAGAAACGTCATTCAGAACTGAGGACCACCCAGTCCATGCCTCCTGAGAGGGCTTTGGCCAACACGAGAAAAACCCTGTACCCAGAATGAAATATTGAACTAAGAAAAGGTTGTGCGGCAACCAAATAAAAATACCAGCTTGCTAGCGATGTATGCAGCAGAGGAATTAAAAACAAGGAGCCAATTAGGAGAAATATTCCGCATGATGTGGCAACTCTAGACCTTGCCAAGAAGAGAGAGCAGCATGTTACCGAGCACTAACTCGGATGACTGACTCAGAATATTAATTAGTGACCATGCATTTGACGTGTCATAGAGGGGAAATGACTCCAAGGTGGGGCATATCTATTCTCAATTATTTCTATTTATACATTTAGCTGTAAATAAAAGCATGGTAGTTAGGAGTAGGTAGCAAGCTTTCAGACCCCTGCAGTTGTGACACAAAGCAGAGAGCCTAGTGTGCAACCAAAGGACTTGTGTTTGTAGCTTTGAGCCAGAGAATATTATTGGATCTAGAACTATTTTGAATGCTTGAGAAGGTCACAAGGTACACCTTGCTCACACACGACCGTGTAAGCTTTGTTCTGAACAGTAATTGAGTGTGCTCAACTCAGAGAGATATTGTGTTGTGATAACTTGAATGTGCTGTTGTGTCTTTGGGATGTGTTTGTGAATTTTGAGTTATTGCAAGTAGCAGAGGTTTGAACCCTTTGGCTTGTCAATAATCTTTGAGGGTTTTTAGTTTATTCCCAAGTGGCACAGGTTCAAATCCTGTGGCTTGTGGACATGTTTCTGTGTTTCTGTGTCTCTGGATCGCATAGGTTTGAACCCTGTGGATCTACAAAAAGTTTCTGAAGTGTTTCTGCTTAGAGTGCAAGGCTTTAAGTCATGTTTAGTTTGTTTGATGGGTTGTAGCCACCTGTGTGTCATGTGCAACATCATTTGAGGGTTGTATGTTCTTGTGGGATGTTTGTGGGCTTGCAGAGCATTACTTTTGCCTTGAGGCTGAGTGATACATATCACTCACCTCCTGTCCTAAAAGCATTTGGACTTAGAGAATTCTTTTGAGCTAGCACACTATTATATCTTGACAAGCACAAGAGATCTTTTAATTCTATTGTTATTGTATGCTTGTATCACACATCTCCCCCAAACTACTGAGATTTTGTGTGTGTGTGAGTGTGAGAGTGGGTGTGTTTAATGTTTCTACACTATCACATTTCTAGCTTGGCATGCACAGAGCCTCTTCACCATGATACACGAATCAGCCATAAGGCTGTGTGTCCATTCTACCACATTGTCCCAGGTGCTTGAAGAGTTGATTCCATTGATACTCCGTGACAACATCACTATTCTTCATTGAGGATTTTTGAAAACGTTCGTTAGACACTTTGTTCCCATCCATTCTGGTACGTTTTGCGGATGTAAAACTGGAAAACTGGATTGATTTTGTGTGCACACATAGACCGGTCCGATCGTTCTGAGTGTCAGGGAGGAGGAAGATACTACTAGGATCGATGGGAACGAGACTACACTTTGTGACGGTAAGCTTGTCTGTGAAGAGAACAAATGATGAATCTTTGCAAGTAGAACATTATATAACTGGTATAGATCACAGAAGCAAAAGTGTTGTTCTATAAGATGTTAGTGACCACTGACAATTTACTTTGTGAGCAGATTTCTGATATGTATGGCAGTCGTGGGTCACTTCATTCATGCCTAGAACAAGATCGAGGGTGCTGGCAGGAAACAGCACAGAAACTGTATATGTGGAAAAGCTTATATGGGTGTGCCACACCCTGATTTCATATTGCAGTCTCATTTATGAGCTCTGCCAGGATTTATGATTGTTCTTTGTTCACCTATATGTCAGTGTTGTGCAGAGGTATGCTTGTATATTCAAGACTGAAGACCAAGAAAGGATTGAGGTATAATTGTCAGATGCACCAGAGCAACTCGCACCTAAGGAAGGTCTTTGACTCATCTAGTTTGATTATGCACCACCAAATCAAGTTCAATGGTGCTTTTAATGTGATTCCATGCTTTCACATCATATAGAAACAGGGACATGCCAGTGCAAGCCCTAAACCTTAACAGTGTATGTGAATTGCCACTTTCTGAAGGTTCCTTTGTCTTCATAATGCCAGTGTAAATACAATGCTAATTCCTACTTCTAGCACATCATGCATTCAGATTTCAATTGCTGGGTCATATCTACCTCATCGATGACTATCTAGTGCTGATGTGTGCTTCTTCTTAACATTGTTCCCAGTGCTCAACACACAGAAATTGTCATGAAAGCAGGTGAGAGGCAATCTAATTTTGGTGTTTCCATTCATTGATGGAATCATCATAGAACAAGCACATGAACTCATGTAAGGTGCTCTGCATGTGAATACAATCTTCACTTTTCAATGCACTTAGTCACACCAACTCTCAGAATTGCATTGCTGGATCCCTATGGCAGCAGGTATAAATTGAGTTATTGATCATGCGGTCACATTTAGAGAGATAGTTTACTGCATTCTTGCATTACTCCTGACCTCTGCCTTGAGCAGTGCTTTTTACCTATGAATTAAATGACCTGTTCAGCATTCCACTATATCATCCATCCATTCCCTCCTGAAGCTCACTAATGTCTGTCTGGCTTCACTCCTGCATGCTCGTGCCTGTTCTAATGAACGCCTTGTCAGGGCTTTCACCCTCACCAATACTTTCATCAAAGATGACAAGCTTTCCCATGCACAATTCTGAAACAGAGCACAGGGTCTTCTTAACAAGGCCAGTGACTGGCATCGTTTCAGACAAATTGCAGACTATGCAGTCCTGTCGTCTCTCCCATCCACTATAGTCTGTGTTGACACATTCATACAGGTGGTGACATTATGAGTAATCTTAGTAGGCTTGCTTGGCACTGAAGATGCAGAGGATGCTTCTTTTCCTCCATCTTCCATCAAGACCATCTCTTCTCTGATCACAAAGCTATGGGCTCTATCCAAGCACCCCAAACCTATTGATCCCACCCTCTTACCCCTTCTAAAGTGACATCTACATGTGCTAGCACCAGATACTGATGCCTATCCCAACCCCCTCGATTTCATTATACCTACCTGGGAAATGACATGGCAAGTCGTTGCTATGACATTTGCACATGTTTATAAGGATGATTGGTTTAGGTGTGTTCTTGAAGAACTACATGCAAACCCCAGCATAACCCAGTTCCACTTTCATGGCTGTGACCCAAGTGCGAAGAGTATCATCACTGAGGCAATGTGTCTTCATCCCCCATCCAAACACATCTCATGTTCAGTTTCGTCTCTTCCCTCATTCTTACCCCACTGGATGTCATCGCACTTCTTTGAGACGCTCCACGTTGCAAATATTTGGGCAGTACATCACTCTCCAGCCATCTGGGGGTCTACAGTCAAGACATTTGATCCTTCATGTCATACGATGCATATGCCAGAGCAGGAGGAAGCCTTTCTGGCCTTTGGTTATGGCAGGTTACAGTGTGTGGCCAAGAATTGGGCACCAATGGCTGCTGCCACTATCCTGTCATCCATCCTTGCTGGCATTGACAAGAATTACCAGGTCAAAGCAGGAAGAGGTATTGGAGGAAGAGATGGTTGGGAAGGCTGGGAGATCGTAGTGTTGACCACCAGTGAAGAGGCTGGCTGTAGGCACCTGTGGAATAGTGAGTGGGCAAAAGGTGAACCTCAAAAACCCACACACACTCACACAACTACACAAACTACAATCACCCTCATAAGTTCTAGGGGGAGCAATTATTTCTAATGTGACCCAACTCTACTTCTATATCTCTAAGAGTTTCTCTGGTCCTCGATGCTCCTGGTGAAGCTAAGCTTTCTCTAATGAATTCCTAAGTCTAGGAACTTTTACAGGAAGGTCATTCACTGACACGACACAACCTTCAAGGCAGATTCAAGTTATAATACACAAGGGACACTGATCCTGACAGAAACAGAGGCAATACATGCTGAAACAATAGTGAGCTCACTACTCACTAAAAGAACACCACAGGTAAGCACTGACTTAGCCTGCTCACTACACAACTGTATGTAGGGGTTCTCCAACTAACTCCAGCAGGTTATCTCGACTCAAGAACACTTCAGAAGCGCTCAGAAACAGATGCAGAAATGGAACTTCAAACAGAACCGACACAGAACAGACTGAAACAGAACAGAACAGAACAGATCTCAGATTTCCACTTCAACACATTCTCCAAACAGACTTATCACACTTAACAGAACAGAAACAGCATCACTGATTCGTATTCACTCTGACTAAGTTCTCAAAAGTCTTATCAAAAGGGTATCTTGTATTTCTCTGAGTGAGCTCACTAATTCTATGCAAAGCTCGAAGTCACAAACTGGTCCTTTGCTGCAGCACCACCTTCAATGCATGTGCCAGAACTCAGAGGCTCAAAACTTGCTTCTACCTACTGGAACCATCCTACTTATACTACAGGGAATTTAGAATTACAAACATCGTGCAGTATCCAGACTCCTACATGCATAGCACCTTGCCACTGCTGCCTTACTGAGCATCTGCATCGGACTTCCCAGTTTTAGTCTCATTTCTATAGTGAGCTCACTAAACACGTGCGAAGAGGTGCTCTCCCAATACCCACAGGCTTGTTCTCTGATGACCAGCAGGTCTAGGTGCATGGAACTATCAGTTCTGGCATATGTCTTTCAAGACTTCCTTCTTGGATTCACAGAGGCTTCTCGTAGACATGGCAACAAGTGAGTCTTCAAACAATGGGACTCAGGACAATGGAATGTGGGTTTGCAGGCTTCAGCCAAAACCCACTGTCCAAGTTCTTGCCGGTGATATCTGTCATCTTGCATAAGGATTTCCTCAGATTTTCAGGTATGGCACATCATAGTTAGTGCACATGCTAATTATTCTCAATGTCAATGCAACCTTTAACATGTCATTTAACTCCTGCGGGTGTGCTTGTAAGTTAGAGCATATTGCACTGGGTATAGGGTTTGGCCTTCTCATCACACATGCCCATCAGGTACAGTGCTGTGACTAAGTCCTGTTTAGAATCCCATCACTTCTTATGCCATAAGTTATATTCCACATCATTGCACCATGTAGCATTAGTGTCGACGCATTGTTTTAGTCTACTCACTCACTATATCTCAGGGCATGTGTAAAACATGCTAGATTGCAAAATTCCACATGTAAGTAGGCTGCAGTCACAACACCAGTCTCTCTAATCAATAACTGTGGAGAGGTTTGGTCGACGTTCTCACTCTTCTTCCTTTCCATTTTCAGTCTTCTTGGGCACTCTCTTCAATTTTGGATACCTACTCTGTATTTAATTGCGTGATCACTAGCGCAGCCCTCCACCATACAATTTTTGTTGGCGTACCTCAGTTTTCTACTACCACTATCGGGTGTAGACTGAGGTACATTCTTTCTCTTGACCTATTCATTTCGTAGTACTTACGATATTATAGATCGTTGTTGTTCAACAGTAATCAAGTTTCAATCATTTGCTATTGTACTGCAGGTTTTCTATCTTATCTTAGGAGCATTTGGGCTGAGCTGGTTGAATATTTGTATGAACACAATATAGCATCATTTTCGAAATGTTGAATGAGTAATTTGAACATTACAACCTTCAGTGAATTGGAGTATTAACTTGTCTTTATCATTTGCAGTTGATTTGCAGGGGTGGGGACAAGGCAACACCTTTGGGCACAAGTCCATTTATGAGACAGTCCATTATAATACTAGTCTGATCAGACTCTGATACATGAGTCCAAGCTGATAGTACTGTCCAGGGTGGGTTTGAAAACATGAAAGCTCTGTCAGTTCAACAAGAGCATACTGTGAGCTAAAGAAATTACTACTGCTGATCAGAAGGGTGAGTCTTGGTCAGAGCATGTTGTTGACCAATCTAAGGAAACATATATATGGATAAGTGGCCAAAACATGAAAGACAAAATATACTCACCCAGGAAGAATTCTATGGCAGCAAAAGTTGAATACAGAGCAGTATTCACGTTAGAGTTGGTCTTAGAGGCCATGAGTGACTAAGGACTAGCTGATAATGGTGTGCAGCCACAGCTGACATATGTGCCATCCATGTCCCAGCTTCACATCTCCCAGAGATGGACTCTCAGCATGTCATACAAGCCCATCATAACAGCCATCAGGAGCTCAGCATACTGGCTCTCCTGCATGCCAAAACAGTCCAGCACACCAGCCTGCTGCAAGACACTACTATAATCAAATGGTTGGGGTCGCTTGGTCCAGGGTCAACAAAGGTTCAGGGTGAGATAGACCAATCCATAAAATGTGGGCATGTCATCGAGATTCCCTTCTGAGAGCGTCGAGCATGTCGAGAGTGATAACCAAGGGTGCAGCTGTGAGCAAGAGAAGTGTCAGAAGGGTCATGATGCCAAGTGTGAGGTGCACGCATTGAGGGCCAGCGAGCAGCATAGAGTCTGGTGCAGGAGATTTGGGTGTATTTGGCCAAGAGGTCAGAACTGCTGTCGGAGATTCTGCATAAGCAATATTATGTCAACTCTCCAGTAATATATGATTATGGCATATTATAAGGTGTTATCATGGTCTGAGAGCCTTGATTTTGGGTCAGAAATATCTTCTGAATGTGCTCGTTCTGCTCCCATAAAAATTATTTTGATAGGTCTTACAGTTCAGATTTTTTCAAGGCCATTATAATGTCCAATATTAGATCATGTGATATATTATAGACCTTATTTGGCATTACTACTGGAGAGTCGGCCTTTTATTGCACTATATGCCCAAATAAGGTACTTGCAAAATCTCCGACAGCCGGCTACCAGACCGGACAACTGGCAAATCCTTTACTCCAACCCAGTTACCCAAAATTCAGTCTCTCCTGCGTTCTTGTCTCTCTTTGTCCTAATGCCTCATCATAAGGGCAGCTGAACCTTCAATCCACCCTATAATAACACCAATACCCTCCCCTAACGACGAATCTATGCTAAAAAGGTCCAGTCAACGTTGTTCCTCAAACTAAGCTCCCAATAACCACTCACCAACCCAACCGATGTCACCGAACATGAAAAATGCCAAGAAAAAATGAAATCAACAATGAGACGGGACTATGCTGATGCATCTGCAAATGCTTCCAGACATGTGATGCTCGCCTTACTCACCAACATCCGTGTCCAAGGTCAGGAACTGGAAGACATTGCCATGGTCGGGTTTCAAGATGGGAATATGCTCATGGTGAGAGAACATGAGTGTTTCAGCTCTTTGCTGATTTAGGCTGACAAAAGTAGTAGAATTTCAAACACGTCAAGGCTGCGATATATGTTACCAAAATACCGCAGAGACAGAATACACATGGACATTGAGGATCCTTGTGCTCAAGCCAATGCTAGATGCCAAGTTGTTGGTCATCACTGTTGCAGAGAAAAAGGCGGAGGAAGCCCATGTGCAGTGTCGCAAGTTCCATGCTCCAACAGACAAGCGTGAAGAAGGGTAAGTATGAAAAGCAATCTGTCGAGCTCAAGGTGGTACACATGCCTTGCAGTTCCTTCCTATCTATATGCTGAACCCTGAACAGTTTCAAGATCTGCTCGACAAGTATGTTGCTGAGATTGACAAGATTTTGGTGGACATGAAGACAATGTTAGGGGTTCAAACATTCATCGATAATAGAGGGTAATCCTTCATGACAACCGAGAAATGATAGTCAGCTGGTTTGATTATGAAAATACTGCTCTGCCTTGTACTTGCCCCACCCATGTCAACCATATGCACAACCCATACAATGAATATGTTTTTTTTTCTCTTCTTTCCTTCCTCATGTAACCTATTTTCACCTGTAGCTGCTACTTTGACACATCAAACACTGTTAGTTGACAGTTAATTGTGATACATCAGGAGTGTCAGTTTACATCCAGCCCATATACAGTAATTCCATCAGGATGACAAAGTGGCTTAGTAAGCTTCCCAATCTGTGTCAATGATGGCATCATTAGAAAAGAAGGCAATTCTGGGAATTGAACCCGGGACCTCAAAAATAAATCCAATAATGTCACATGACTTTCTCAAGCAAGCATGCTAACCACTACACCATACTGGCATTATATATATATCTTTTCATCTCTATATATACCCTCCCTCCCTTAACATTTATGACCTCATATTGATGCCCTCCCTTTGCTCCGCTCTGGTGCGCTCTTTTGCCTTTTTAGGCTCCCCAAATCAGCCCATCAATTTTGGCTGGATCCAGTGGCAGTGCCGCATTTTTAATACCCAAAATAGGGGCTATTTTCCGGTCAAAATAGCTATTGGGCTATTCTCAGCCTACTGGCTGGGCCAGGGGATGGCACTATAATCTGTATAGACATAAACAACATAAAATAGAGCCCTCTAATGATGCATAGGAGCCCTGGATAGTGGGATAAAAGGGTAATATAATGAAAATCGCATAAATATTCGCTTTTGGGGGCTGCTGCATGCATTGGATCGGCTGGAGGACTTCACCAATCGATTCCCTGACCTTGAAAACACCCAAACGACCCCTCCACAGTACTTTTGGCACACTTTATTCCTGGAGATAAACGAAAATATTCGCTTTTTAGGGTGCAGCATGCTCCAGATCGCTTTGAAAACATTACCAGTCGATTCCTATGCTATAAAAACCCTAGAATACATCCTCCTTCGTAATATAGGTCCAGTATAATACAGTATAAAAGGGGGTATTAGGGGGCATACATCGCTTATTTTGTTTTTTGCACTTCGGATGGCCTGGGGAGCATCACCAATGGAATCCCTGATATTAAAAACCCCAAAACGACTCCAGACTTCATTTATAGGGTCTCAAAAACGACAGAAATAATGATATTACAGTTTAGGAGGAGCACATGTAATAAATCCTATTTCTGGGCTTCGGACCACTTCGGAGTTTTGTCTATTGTGTTCATTGACCTGAATAACACTCAAATGACCCCACAGGACAAAGGAAACCATCAGAAATATGTGATAAAAAGAGTAATAGGGTGATGGAGGAGACATACCTTATATTTCGCATTTCTAATAGTTAGGGAGGGTATTCTTGTTATATAACAGACTGTATATATTGTACAATGGTGTGTACGAAGCCCCATGGATATCCGAAATGTATTGAATGAGATATGAGCAGATCATTCTGTAAAACAGGAGGAGCACATCCCATATTTCGATGTTCTGCTCATTCTATGGCCTGGGGACTATCAGAATCGGATTCCTTGACCCAAAAAACAGTAGAGGCACTTATCATCCATAGGAGCCATTTTACCCAGATAACACATACAGCCATATGTAGCTACAGGACAATATAAGTAACAAATGAGAGAACATCTTGTACTTCGGAGTTTGAACATCTGAATACCATGGATGATAGGTGGCCCTACTGTTTTTTGGGTCAAGGAATCCGATTCTGATAGTCCCCAGGCCATAGAATGAGCAGAACATCGAAATATGGGATGTGCTCCTCCTGTTTTACAGAATGATCTGCTCATATCTCATTCAATACATTTCGGATATCCATGGGGCTTCGTACACACCATTGTACAATATATACAGTCTGTTATATAACAAGAATACCCTCCCTAACTATTAGAAATGCGAAATATAAGGTATGTCTCCTCCATCCCCCTATTACTCTTTTTATCACGTATTTCTGATGGTTTCCTTTGTCCTGTGGGGTCATTTGAGTGTTATTCATGTCAATAAACACAATAGACAAAACTCCGAAGTGGTCCGAAGCCCAGAAATAGGATTTATTACATGTGCTCCTCCTAAACTGTAATATCATTATTTCTGTCGTTTTTGAGACCCTATAAATGAAGGCTGGAGTCGTTTTGGGGTTTTTAATATCAGGGAATCCATTGGTGATGCTCCCCAGGCCATCCGAAGTGCGAAAAACAAAATAAGCGATGTATGCCCCCTAATACCCCCTTTTATACTGTATTATACTGGACCTATATTACGAAGGAGGATGTATTCTAGGGTTTTTATAGCATAGGAATCGACTGGTAATGTTTTCAAAGCGATCTGGAGCATGCTGCACCCTAAAAAGCGAATATTTTCGTTTATCTCCAGGAATAAAGTGTGCCAAAAGTACTGTGGAGGGGTCGTTTGGGTGTTTTCAAGGTCAGGGAATCGATTGGTGAAGTCCTCCAGCCGATCCAATGCATGCAGCAGCCCCCAAAAGCGAATATTTATGCGATTTTCATTATATTACCCTTTTATCCCACTATCCAGGGCTCCTATGCATCATTAGAGGGCTCTATTTTATGTTGTTTATGTCTATACAGATTATAGTGCCATCCCCTGGCCCAGCCAGTAGGCTGAGAATAGCCCAATAGCTATTTTGACCGGAAAATAGCCCCTATTTTGGGTATTAAAAATGCGGCACTGCCACTGGATCCAGCCAAAATTGATGGGCTGATTTGGGGAGCCTAAAAAGGCAAAAGAGCGCACCAGAGCGGAGCAAAGGGAGGGCATCAATATGAGGTCATAAATGTTAAGGGAGGGAGGGTATATATAGAGATGAAAAGATATATATATAATGCCAGTATGGTGTAGTGGTTAGCATGCTTGCTTGAGAAAGTCATGTGACATTATTGGATTTATTTTTGAGGTCCCGGGTTCAATTCCCAGAATTGCCTTCTTTTCTAATGATGCCATCATTGACACAGATTGGGAAGCTTACTAAGCCACTTTGTCATCCTGATGGAATTACTGTATATGGGCTGGATGTAAACTGACACTCCTGATGTATCACAATTAACTGTCAACTAACACCTTTCAAACAGAAATCTAGCAGACCAGGCTGCTATTTTAGAACTTGAATTCAGGCTTGGGCATGTACTGGTCACTCAGACTCGATGTTTATCATTGAGCCAAGGCTGACCCCACAGCATGCTCCAATCCATATATCGCTCTCTTCTTCCATCCCTTCTGCCACACGCCAGGATAGATTCACCAAAAACGCTTTACATCAGTACACTGGGATCTGGAGGTTACTCTCATTCACTGTTCGAACATGCATGCCCTATAGCCTGAGTTATGGTGGCATCAACCCCCCTGGATACCAAGGACTCAACACATAAAGACATGAGAAATCTATACCATTAAAGGTCTGAAAATCCCCTTGTGTACCTACAGTAGCTACTGGGGCTGGCTATGAGCAAATGCCGCTGCATCTCTATACATAGATTATGGGTTGTGGTTTCGAAATATAGATTAAAAAAAAAAAAAAAAAAAACTGTTCGAACATGCATGTGATGTGCTAAGTTCTCTCCATCTCCACCTCTGACACTAGCGGTCGTCAGTTGACGACTATCATACCTTGCTTAAGCGGTGTTCATATTGGAATCACAAGGCTCAGGACAGCAAAATGAGCAAGAGAAAAGGGAGTATATATCCATTGCAAATGAGATGGTGGATACTACGTGAGTACAGTCCCTTTATACAACAGTTCTAACTAAAGGCCACAGGTATAAGCAACGAATACATAGAACTAATGAGAGAATAATAACAAGCAGCAACTGGAATGACAAGCACCTCGACAGTTAATGATCAGCACTGTCACTTGGTGACAATGTGAGCTCAAATATCAAACAGTTCATCCCCATCCCAAATTTGCAGAATCCAATTTATGTCAGGCACACTTTGAAAATAATCATACACTGCCATAATAATGCATATATGCCTTTAAGAGAATCGAACTGTTAGTTACCTGAACTCATTACATTTAAGCATGAACTTTCTTTGCCTCACCTCTTTCAATGTCCACAATTTTCATTGATTCGGTTAGATCCTTGCAGAGCTACCCATTGGATGCTATCTTGAAGAGGAATATTGCATTGTTCAATGAAACAATACACTGCACTTCGATGACAGGATATCACCGTTGACACATTGATCTGAGTACACACCGAGTGAACATACAGTTTTATTTGACTTAATGTACCTACCCCGTAACGCTATACTATATCTACAATGACCGGTAGATCTAGAGGATTTAATATGTTGGTGATTTAATATCCGTTGTGAAAAGACATTCAATGCGTGATGGAAAGGGTGAAATTGTCAGCGGCAAGGATTTTGATTATGTGTGGAGAATGATGTCATATCACGGGAAGACCCTGGCTTGTGTAAGCGAAGATTTTAGACCTAGAGAGACCTTGACAAGCAAGGTAACTTCCCAATCCCAACCACCCAGAACAACCCTGCTCATTCTTCGCTCCCTTTGCGCCGCATCAATCAGCCACAATTCATCTATGGAGCTCCCTTTTCATGGTATCTTCAGATGCCAGATTATGAGAGAAGTCAGCCGCTGAGACCCATAGTTCGCGGCTTATCCTCAAGATACGGGAGCTGCTCCTCAATTCTCCCCCTCCCTCCGGCATTAAAAGATATTTTCCTCTTCACAGCGATGGCCTATATCAACATTGTCAGACATGCCATTGGGGAATGCCCCGTCCTTCTTTGACGCTGTCGAGTGCGCTGGTGACTGTCAAGTCGACTTTCGAACCTCGGCTTATCTTGGTGGGGCCCAGCAGCATATTTTGGGAAATGGTGGGGAGGCGAGTCGGCTGACGTGGATGACGATGAACATTTGAGAAAGGACGCGTGAAGAAAGCGTGGTCGGGCATTTTGGGCATCTCTGCAGATGGACTGCCTTGGGTTGGTAGTGTTCACTCGAAGGTATCGGACAGACCGGGAGGAAGTGAGTGGATCGCGGCGGGGTATTCGGAGTAGGGAATGGTGCATACATGGATGAGTGGAAAGGCGCTGGCGTACATGGTGCTTGGGAAAGACGTTAATTGGCTCCCTGCTCCGTTTCGCGTGACAGAGAAAAGGTGGAAAAAGGCAAATATTGTGTCTTAGCTATAATAATTCACTGTGTAGATTTGAAGACATTACGCATCGTGGCTGTAATAATCATATATATGTTTAGCTTGTGAATATACGATAAATTACGCGTCGGAAATATCCGAACAATCTTTCTCTCTTACCACCACGACTCTGCTCTCATTCTCTGTTTCCTTCATCTACAATTGTCGGGCTCCTGGAATTCACGACGTTGGTATGCCTACCGAGATGTTCAACGTGTCATGCAGTAGTACCCATCCAAACAAGTGGATTGTATGTTCCGTCCATCTTCATGTCCTTCTCGACGCGTCCTCCCTTGATCAAGGTCACAAGAGGTAGTCAATCTTAGGAAGGAATCAATCCCTTCGTGGCGAACGAGTCCTGAACGAAGGAAGGAGCTTTGTGAAACAGAATTGGAGAATGGATCGATTGACCTCTTGACCTTTCTGTGACCTACGTAGCCGGTGTGTACGGATACTAAAACGCATATACAGGTATTGACAATGTAGTGTGCAGGATGAGTTGACCACCACCTCGACGCCTAACTGTCGTCCCAGAGCTAGATTCAACATACAGCACTGTATCCAATCTGCCCTTCAGCTTCTCAGGCCATCCACGGACTCTCATAGTTCACTTTTCCCCTCAAAATCCTGGTTCTCTCCACACAAGCGTGTTCTCCTTCGCCGTCTTCCGCCTGTCCTCTACACCGTTCATATGTAGTCACGGATTCAAGGAGTCTTGCTCGAGAGGCCGTGCAGAATCACCGGGACGTGTGGGTTACCCTGGGAACGAACAAAACGGTGTATCCGACAACACAACTGGTAAGTAGGCATTACCACTACAATGTTGATCATGCGACTGAGTTTATTGTAGGTGACGTTGTCGATCTTCAATACTTCCTGTACAAAGAAGATGTTCAGCGCTCCGCCGCCCTCGGTGTCACTGCACATTCTTTCTCGTATGTATTGGAATCCATATGACGCGACTTCTCTGAACAAATGTCTCGTAGTATCTCGTGGACGAGGATCTACCCGTTCGGTGCTGCTGATTCTCCTATTAATACCACGGGAATTGATCATTATTCTGATGGTATGACTTCGTATTCGTATCATAAGAGATGCTGACCGCTGTGACTACAGTCATTGATTACCATTTGGCTCATGGCGTGGAACCTGTTGTAACATTGTGTAGGCCTTTTTCTGTTGCATTCGACGCTCCATGTTTACCACCAGAGACATAGTCCATTGGGATACATCTTGCCCTTAGGCTTACTATGGAGCTTTCACATCTCCAGATATAGTCGACGACTTTGTAAGGTAAGTGCTAGAAGGATTCGACAGCTTGTGTACTTATGCCACTTCCAGCTACGCCAAGACCGTGTTCAAGGCGTACAACGGCCGTGTTCAAACTTGGTTGGTGACCGTGGTTTCTTAACGCCGCAATAAGCTCAGCTGCTTCAGGTATACAACGAGCCGCGTGTTTATTGCGGTCAAGTCGCATCCTATCCTTTCAGTGAATATTCTATTTAACAAACACCTTTCGCAAGCTTACCATTAAGAATAGATGCCACACTCACCCCCGGTGTAAACTCATCTACCGCCCCTTATCGATGCACATACAATCTATGTACGTCCTGCTTGCATTCTTTTTTTACCCCAACCCTGACCATTTTATAGTAAAGGCCCATGCAGGAGCCGTCAAGGGTTTGTTTGCGCATCATGATAAGGACCTCCTGCTAACGAACTTCGTTTCCAGCATTCCGAGAAATGATTGCTATTTTCAAAAATGATGAGATTCTCGAAAAAGAAAAAAAGTTTTGATACGCCCAATGCCAGCCCGATCTCAGCCTGCGCCATCTGAGACAACCCATGACTATCGACGAAATAACTTATGACGTCGATCGTCATAACCCTCTGAGTGGGGGCTCAGAGGTCTTTTAGCGGGGCCCAAAACTTTTTAATTTTTTTCGGAATCTCATCATTTTTCAAAATAGCAAGAATATATCGTGAGAGATCGCCTTTAAAAATGACGATTACATGTAACTATGTCCCTTCCTTCTTCCAGCACACCCTGGAGAAGCAACTCTACTGAGGACGCACTTGCCGTCAAACGCCATGCAGCATTCCAAATTGGCATCTTCTCAAACCCCGTATGTACAACAGGCGATTGGCCTGACATTGTCAAGGACACCCTTCCCTCCGAGTATCTCCCGCGCTTCACTGACCAGGAAAAGAAGGACATCCTCGGCTCCGCGGATTTCTTCGCCATCGATTCCTACCGCTCGCAATGGGTAAGCGCCCCGGCAGAAGGAATCGACGCATACGTAGCAAATACTTCCCACCCCTTGTGGCCCGTCTGTAACGAACCTGTACTGTTCGACTCGGATTACGGCTGGGCTATAGGTCCTGCTGCTGACCCATTGGCTACCTGGCTTCAGGCAACACCAGTGGCCATTCGTCCTTTGCTGAAGGACCTCCACTCTCGATGGCTGAGTAATAAATTGGTGGGTGTGAGGACTTCATATGTGTTGGCTATCTCTGATCGCTGGTGGATAGCATGTTTCCGAGTTCAGCTTCGCGGAGCCTTACGAAAACGAGAAAACGGACTTGTCGCAAATAAAGGAGGACGTGGACCGAACGAGTGAGCCTACGGTCTCATTCCTGGGTATCCGAAGATTAATCAGTGTTTCCAGACTACTTCCTCACGTATCTCGGCGAGATGTTGCTATCCATACACGAAGATGGGGTTCCGATACAGGGTGCTTTCGCTTGGGGTTAGTTCCAATAAAACAAGACATAACATATCGTTGCTAACTCATTGCAGCAATGCTCGACAATGCGGAATGAGCAAGTGGAACGTCCGTCAGGTGCGTGCTCTTTGTTCAGGATTTAGATATTTTCTTGTCTTAACATGAGCGTAGATTCGGTATTCAGCACGTCAATTACACGACACTAGAACGGACGTACAAGCATTCGGCGCAGTCCTTGGGTGAGTTGTGCGATGCCTTCCAATGAACGCCAAGATTTACGAGTGAAAATAGCGGAATTCTTTGCGTCGCACCTTCAAGATTGAGTTCTGTGTTGTACGGTACGGCCAAGGTTGGTTTTCGTCGAATATGAATTCAATAACAAGGAATACGTGTAGCCTAATAGCCATGCAAATAAAGGCTAGTCACCAATACAACCTCCCAGAAAGACAATTGAAGCAGACCGTATATGTATACCTTTTCCAGAGATTTTCTTCATGTCCGACATATTTATCTTCAACGACAATCACAGTAGAGGCATCGAGGCGTTACTTTTTATTCATCCTGATACACTGCATCCTTGTCAAGATGTATATGAATGTTGAGTTTGTATCGAGTGTTAGCAGGAGAGACAGCACTTTCCAGCTCAATAGTTTGAGATTTTGGTTCGTTGTCATCTCGGCCCGGAGTTACCGGCCTGCCCTTGATCTTGACCGCCGCGAATTTTCGGTACGTCGCGACAGCTGCTTCTGTTTTCCGTGTTTTCAAAATGAGCGAATCGTACTCACACATTTTGCAGGTGTGTTGACTACAGAGACATTATGTGACATTTGTCTTGGCAGCACTGTCGACCAGGCAGGCCTTACAACTGGCAAACTCGTCTGAGGCTGGCTCACTCAATACCAGCATAGATTTCGGTTATGTAAATCTGATAACCCATTAATTAATTTCTTCAGTAAGTGGCTAGCCAGGCCTTTGTTGTGATCAGGTGCCATCTTAGTAACAAGCACCAATAGGCGCCCATCGATGCCTCGAGGTCTTCCTTCTCCCCATACCTTTCCGACATGTCTAACAGACGTGGCAGGCCGCTGTGCAAATTCTTCAACACAGCTAGGGGATGTCGTTTTCAAGACTGCAAGTTTCTCCACGAAAGAGCCGGAAGTCCGACGCCTTCGTCGTCGCCATCAACTCCGTTGCATTCTCCCAGACCATCAGGCAGGTCTGGCGGAATCACAGCTGGCCGGGGGAACTGCGAGTTCTTCTGGACTTCGGGAGAATGTCGACGAGGATTTGATTGTATATTCCGCCATGTTCGCCAGCCGCAGACTCAGAATGCTGCAGGGGTGTCTGTAGAGGCAACGTCTCCAGAAACCGACACCCTCGACTTCCTGACGACCGAAGGACTTGCTGGCATTAACAACATTTCTTTGGACAAGTTGCATACGTTGAGCCCGACGGAGGCGCATAACATGCTCAGGGCATTCAATAGCCCGACATTCCAGTTCACAGCCCCTGATCAAGTCATTAAGTTCGTCCAGATTCTAGCTAGCGTTGATCGCAGAAATTCACAATGGGTACTTTCTTTGCACTAAGCAGGCTCTTCTTCTAATCAAATGATCTCATAGGATACTGTTCGGGCCCAGTCATTTCTTGAAATGATAGTCGATTTGAAGGTAAATTTTTTGTAACTCTAAATAATTGTGCTCTTATCAAGCCAACTAGCATCATGTCCTCGCTCGCATCCGCGAGGTCTTGCAATACTCCCCTATTGCTTGCCGTGCTGGTACAGGCTTCACGGAAGTTTCGTTTCAAATCGGATACTTCCCGCTTCTTCAGGTAACTAAGATCTTTCCGTCTTTTACCATATCTCTCATCAGAACTCCAGTTCTTTGGCTCAGACCTCATCCTCAAAACCAATCTCCACCATAATATCCAGTATGTCGTCTCAATGTATGTGCGCTTTCTGTCAAGCTGACGTCTTTTAGCGCCTTGTACAGCGCCTTGGATAGTGGTCTCGATCATATGTTCGACGTCGTTTCGTCTTGCATGGAGCAAATGATCCAGAATCGATCTTGGAAGGATCCTACACCAGCCCTTCCTGCCATGCGGCAAAGTAGCCTTTCGGGAGTGGTTGTTTTCGGCACGATCACCACCCTGCTTACTCAGTAAGAGCTACTGCCTACTTTTGGTCGCTATGGTATTAACGCTTCTCAGATATTTTCAACGTTCCAAACATGCCATTAACAATCATCCAAATATTGTCGTATTCATTGGCAACCTTGTTCGGTGGTACGATGAATGGGCAAGATTGATCGCAACGTCGAGCTTTGATGATTCCATTGACGCAACCGTTCAGCGGTTGACCTTGGAACAAATCAAAGAGTCTATCAGTAGGCTTGACGCAATAGTAAGCCGAGAACATGCAAATGCAGAGAGAAGACGAAGACCAGCGCAGCCGCAAGGTCTGAGAGAGGAGCATCGATCTGAGGCATTACAGGCTCAACTTATTCAGACTTATGACGGTCCCGGTGTCCTTCGTCTTCTTGGTCCTCGCCATAGCAATGATCACCGCGACATAGCTGACATACATATTGTCCCTACCCATGACGAGATGATCTCTGCGAGTCTTCCATACATTCCCGTTAACCGTCCGGATGCTCCACATCATTTGGCTCCAAATTCAATGGAGCGACATCTTGACATTCAGTTCCGTCTCTTACGTGAAGAACTCGTGTAAGTCGTCCTACAGTGTTCTCGTGATGTTTACTGAGATATGTGTATGCCAGTGCCCCCATTCGCGCGTCTATATCTACTCTTCAGCTTGACTTCGATGCTATGCAAGCACCAGCTCCAAGACGTGAGGCGCAGCCAATCCAATTGGAAAAGTTAATCAAGGCAAGGGGAGGCATGTATCGAACCTCTGGTTATAACTCGACTATGTTCCATATCTATACAAATGTCGAATACTCTCCTCTTCAAGCCGAGCGACGTGGTTTCACGGTCGGTCTTGTTGTCGATGCGCCTCCTTCAGACCGTGCTCGAAACTCTGACCCCAAAATCAGAAAAGACTTCTGGGAGCATGCTGGCTCGCGACGTCTCAGCGCTGGCAGCCTTGTTGTTTTAGTCGTCGCACATTCGGGTCGTCTGAAGATCTATGTTGGCAGCGTTTCTTCATCAACAGATGACACTATCGAGTCGTCGAAGGTCCACGAGAGCCGCATTGAAATTCGCGTCAAATTTTTTGATCCCGACGTAGAACTTGGCGCCCTTCGACAGGAAAAGATCACTATTGATCAGCATCGATTCGCGTTCTTGGTGGATAACAACATCATGTTCGAATCTATCAGACCCTTTTTGGAGAAGTTGCGTTCAGTGGAACCTACCTCCATTCCATTTTCTAATTACATCTGTCGGGACACTCTGAGAGGAGTCGCGGTTGTGCCTCCGAAGTATAGCCAAAATCCATCTTTCCGATATAACCTGGAATGTCTATCGAAAGATAGAGTCAGGGAGTATGTCCATCCATTGAACGCAACCGACCCTTTATCAATCCGGAGAGCCCGACTACAGCTGAGGTCGTCAAGCATTTTAGATCCCAGTCAATGTGATGCTGTGGTCGACGCTTTGACACAGGAAGTTGCTCTAATTCAAGGGTATGTTCTTGTTATCATCTACGTGTTGAATGATGCAAACAATTTCCTTGGGTTCTAGACCTCCAGGTACCGGAAAGGTGTGTATCATTGAACCTTCGATGTGACGTGCGTTCTAAGAGCAGGTATAGAGCTTTACCGGCAAAGAGTTGCTTCGGGTCTTATTTGCCAGCAAAGTCAAGCCTATTGTGATGATCGCTTTCACAAATCATGCACTGGATCACATGTTACTATCTCTGTTGGACGCAAAAATCACGACAAATCTTGTTAGGTTGGGATCGCGGTCCTCGGACGAACGTATCAATGAATTTACCTTAGACAAGTTAGAGAGGATGAAGGATGGAGCGTCTTCACCCTTGGATCAGATTGTGCGCAAGGAGTGGTTTGCCATGGGCCGACTAGAAGATGAGATGAGGACAATCCTACAGCATATCCAAACACCTTCGCACACCTGGGAGACAGTAACCAACTATCTGCAAGAGACGTTCCCCGATCATCTTGCCTCATTCGTAGACCCTCCTTTCTGGATTGATAAGCTAGCAGAAGAGCTTCGTCAGGATATCGAAGCAGAAGGGGAATGGACAACCGTGAACGCAAAGAAGAAAAGGCGTGATGTCGATATCCCGAATACCATATATTCCTTTTGGAAAATTGGGCAGGATATCTCGTTCCTACAGCCCCCACAGCCTCCTCAGACTCCCGCACGGTCATCAAAAGGAAAGAAGGGGAAGCAGCAGCAGCAGAGGCAGGCGCAGGAACTTATCCTTGCAGCGGAGCTCCAGCAGGCCTATTTGACACGCATGAACAACCTCTTCGTGCCGTTGGGATTTCCAGAGGGTATGATTCCACCTATTCCAACGACTTCCAGACCAATCGACGAGCTTCTGGTCGCCGATGCTATCTGGAGCATGTCTGTCGAAGAGCGACAAATACTGTCTGCATTATGGGAAACCGAAATGAGGACCTTTGCATATAACAAGTACAGACAGGATTACGAAGAGCGCCGGGAAGAGTATGAAGCCGCTTGTAAGCGGTTCAACGATGCCAAGGACGAGGTTAGTAGCAACTCATGAGCATGTTGCAGTCATTCAGCTTATAAAAATCTCAGAGTCGACGGCAATTGCTATCTCGAATTGATCTTATTGGGTGCACCACTAATGGCGCTGCCAAACTTACCTCACTGTTGACGGTACGTACTTACAAATTGCCCTCCCACTCTTTTTCTAGTATTCACATGGGATTTCAGACCATTGCACCCAAAGTTTTGATAGTGGAAGAGGCAGGACAAGTTTTAGAGGCCCATATCTTATCTTCTCTTGTGCCATCTGGTGAGTGAATGATGGAATCTGTTCTTGCCGAGTCAAGCATTAATTGTTCATCAGTGCAACATCTTATTTGTATAGGTGATCCGCAGCAGCTTCGTCCTACCTTGGCAAATTTCTGTCAGTTGAATGGGCAGCGTCACCCGATTTTCAACTTCACTGACCCGTTTTCTTAGCTCTCTCTATGGATAGTGCAAGAGGAAAAGAATTGTACAAATTTGACCGTTCTTTGATGGAACGACTGGCGGATGGTGGGTTCCCGATGTCCCAGATCAACGTTCAGCGGAGAATGCGTCCAAGCATTTCTCATAACATTCGGTTTGTTACATCAGCTACTAGTTTGGAAATCAGTAATTAACGTCTCCATCAGAACAATTCTGTATCCTAACTTGGAGGATCACGACCTCGTCAAGAAGTACCCTCCCATTCAAGGGATGGAACACGACCTTTTCTTCTTTACCCACACAAACCGGGAGAAAGCCGCAGATGAAGGCTCGGCATCCAAAGTCAATATGTTCGAAGTGAGTTGACCTCTGCTTTTAGAAGGAAAAGAGAGCTTATACGGAGAATAGGTTAAAATGATTGTTGATCTTGTTGTGTACTTTTTGAAGCAGGAGGCTTATAGTTCCCCTGGAGATATTGCTGTCCTTTGCGCGTATCTAGGCCAGTTGCGAGAGCTGAGATCTGCCCTAGCATCCCTCAAAGTTGCTGTTTCTGTCGATGAACGTGATCAAGATCAGCTAGCCAGAGAGGGAATGGACGATGAAGGGTATATAGAACAGGTTACCGTGTCCAAGCATGTACGACTTCTTTTACCTTCTTTGTTCTATGGGTGTTGATACTTTCTAGGTTCGTCTAGGCACTGTTGACATTTTCCAGGGCGAGGAAGCAAAAATTGTTATTGTTTCTCTTGTCAGAAACTCTGGATCTTTCGATAGTGACGAGTCAATTGGCTTCCTGAAGGTAATTTGGACGCCTCTCGTGATTCGCGTGTTCAGTTTATTCATGTGACGAATGCTTTTAGTCTGCCAATCGAATTAATGTAGCACTATCGCGTGCTCAGCATGGACTGTATGTCCTGGGAAACGCGTCCAACCTTCGTCAAAATCAGACCTGGAAGACCATCATAGACGAAATGGAGCAGCGGGACCAGATCGGGTTCGGCTTTCCAGTAATATGTCCTCGCCACCCAGAACAGAGACATACAATCACGGCACCAGGCCAACTCAGTGTCGTTGCACCAGAAGGCGAGCAGCTACAGACCAACGACTATGACCGTCAGAATTAACCAATACTACCTGTAGGTGGCTGCTGCTTGCCTTGCGATTACCGTATGGACTGCGGCCACAATTGCCCTTCGATGGTATTTTCAATTACCTATTCTATGTGCCGTGGATACTCAATGTTTCTCATTTTATTAGTGTCATCTCGATCTCGATAAACATCGCAGCATGCGGTGCGATATGCCATGTCTCCGAACCCCATGCCCGCGTATGCATCCATGCGATAAGAGATGCTCGGACAAATGCGGCCCTTGTGAATTTCCCCTTTACAACATCGCCCTGCCCTGTGGTCATGTAGCATCAATCCTATGGTACGAGGAACTACCCTTACATTAGAACTTGACTCACTTGTAGTCTTCTCTGCTAGTCATCAAGCGGAAGACCTGGCTTCGGTTTTCTGTCACGAAAAGGTCTCAAAACAGTTGTCGCTTTGTGGACATGATGCAACAATGCGCTGCTCTGACGATCCTCAGAAGCACAAATGCATCAAAGTTTGCGGAGGAATTATGCCGTGCTGCGAAAAGACGTGCAAGTCATTTTGTGGAGACTGCACAGGACTTAATTTGCCAGGAGCTAAGGGGATCCATCGCCTCTTGACAAGCAAACTTCGCACCTTCAAGCACAAATCCCATCAATGCGAGCGACTCTTATTCTGTCAACACAAGTGCGGTCTCGACTGTTCTAAAGACCACGAATGTAATACGTCGTGTAAGCAGCAGTGCCGCCAACGTTGTTCCCACCACAAGTGTCCAAAACCATGTGCCCAAGACTGTGCACCTTGTACCGAACCATGCGACTGGAACTGCCCTCACCTGTCTTGCCCAGTGTTATGCGGATCGGCGAGTTGTATTATATTTATTTCCTCTCCATGTTGTTGATTTCGCTGCAGATATGTGCACGTCTACCATGCGATGAACCATGCCCTAGCATTCTTCAATGCGGCCATGTCTGCCCTTCAGGTAAGGGATACTTCTGTCGGAGACTGCTACCTAAGCTGAGAACGGCTCTACCGCAGTATGCGGCGAACACTGCTTGCAACAGAAGTGCATCGAATGTCTCTCAGACGACGACAAGATGGACATCGTAGATTTTATCATGCAACGAAGACTTGTTGACATCCCTATCGGGTCGGACGATATCAGCGACAGGATCATCACCTTGGATTGTGGGCATATTTTCACAGTGGAGACGTTAGACGGACATTGTCAAATGACCGACTATTATGAGATCGACGTAATGGGGTCCTACACGGGAATGAAAGCACCTCCTACCGAATTTCAACGGCCACCAAGCTGTCCAACTTGTCGGGCACCCATTACAGCTCGGCGCTATGGAAGGGTCCTCAAGCGAGCGAATCTCGATATCTTGGAACAGAATGTGGCCAGTACGATGTCCCAACGCCTGGCCGAGATTGTTCCATCTATTGACACCCTCAGCAACGGTCTGGAAGAACTAGCAGCCCGGGCTAAAAAACTTGAAGCCGCGCCGAATTTTGAATGTCACCCTGCTGATAAATTTGAGGGCCTAGTCGAAGAGCGGAAAGCTTTCATGACGGGGAAAGCAGACGAAGTCTTGGACCATGGTATGCTCACTGCTAGGTCTATGGTCACTCGCCATGGTTTGTCGGAGTCCGAGGCCAAATCATGGATGGGTATTGTTGTGGATCTTCATAGAGTCTACAAAAGGGTAGCTGATGTTACAAAGACGTGGTCCGCCCACGTCCGTGCCTACGAGTCGGCTCTTTCTACCCTTTATCGCTTGGAACTTGCAAATCTTGCTGCCGACCCACCATCGGACATCCAGGTCCCTCCTGAACACATTGCAATGAGCAATGTTGACCGGAAGATTGGACAGCCTCCTCACAAGGCTGATCGTCGCTATCATCTCGAAGCATTCATATTATCCATCGAGTTGAGGCTCATGTTGGGAAGCGTTGCTCGTTCTCGGTTCGAGGCACTTCCGATGACTGCCAACGAACCTGCAGCTCTTCATCATCGTAAAGTCTGGTATTCGTTCACCTTGTTCATCTATCAGTCATGCATTACCGACTGTCAAAAGGCTATTACCATCGCCCATGCAACTTCTTCATCACGTTTGGCTGCTCGCTCTGCCAGCTTGATGCTCTGTTCAGACTTTGAACAGTTCCGTTTTTCGATGCTGGAGAAACGTAGGGACGCATTCAAAGATGGTGCATTCGCGCAAACTCGAGATGCCTTGGTAGCTGAGGTTCAAGCTGACAGGAAGAAGTTGAAGAGTCGCTTGAGAGAGCTCGAACGGTCGTATTTCACAAGCCGTTCGTCGAATGATCCATCCCAGCTCGGTGAAGATCGTCGATGGTGCCATGGGAATTGCGGCGCCAAAATCGAGCGTTGCTTCGCAGAATACGGGAAATTGGAAGATCACATTATAAACGACGGTGTTTATCAGCCAGTGTCCCTGCAGGAGAAACAGGACATTGTGAAAGCCTTAGGATTCTCGCATCGAGGTCATTTCTACAATTGTATAAACGGTCACACATTCGTTATCACAGAGGTATGATCATTGTCGTAACGTATACCCGACAAGCTGAAACATCTTTTTCAGTGCGGCGGAGCGATGGAGGCCAGCCAATGGTCAGTTCACTAATTGGAGCGACTGTTGTCTTCACTAACACGACGTCCTATTTTAGCCCCGAATGTAGAGCGCCTATAGGTGGTGGAAACCACACGCTTGACTCCTCTAATACCCGTGCACGAGAATACGAAGATATCTCAAGAGAGCAAGGTGGAGCAAGAAGCCCGTGGGCATGGGCAGCAGGCGCTTAAATAAGGAAGAAATGAGAGTAGACAAAGATCGTGGCTGATAATCATCGCAGAGGTATCGGGTTTCAACTACTTTGTAATATTAGAGAGGACAAACTGTTTTGATGAAGCAGGAAGAGATATATGGCTACTAGAACCGGACATTTTGTTGGTGTGATGAAGGCTGGTCTACCCTTGGGTGTGGGTAAAGTAAGAGGTGAAACATTCGCTCGCATGTCTATAAAAAAACGTGACCTCTGGTCCTCCGGTCCCAGTCAAGTCACACATGATTTGAGCCATGAGGAGGGGTTGCGTCGTTCGTCCAAAATGAGTCTTTACTTCGATCGCGAATTGTAGGACTGTGGACATGCCGGCCAGATAATAGATTGAGTGCAGCAGGTCCGACAGGGATGGTTCTTGTTCGAGTGACGGCTCCGACGAAATGAGGAACAAGTTTTAAAGACACCAGGGCAAAAGAAGGCGTCACCAGATTATGAACGAAAAAAGAGAAATCCATCCCGGGCCGCAATTCCCTCGAGTACGTCATCGATCGACCGTTCGATTTGCATTCGAGTTCTGACGAGTTCTGAAAACTTCTTTAGTAACAACGACCACAACACTACTACCGATGGGCGGTTTTCTATGGTTCATCTCTGGTGCAGCTGTGGCCACCATCTATTGCAATGGTCGCATACAAGCAGGGTACTATGCCGCCAACCCGAATGGATACTACGAACGAGGGTGGACGCGTCAGAGCGCACAGGCTCTTGACTCCGATGAAAGGGCGCCGGAAGGCAATGAGAGGGAACGACAGTATGCGTATGGAGCCGGAGTGAGGCTAGAGGGCCAACAACGATTCGGATTGGAGCTACCTCAACAGCCCCGAGAGAGAACGGAAGCTCCGACGCCACCACCGCCCCCACCTCAGCAGGAGGAACAAGCTTCGCTTGACCACATCAGAGAGCTCAGTAAACAAGCAGACGAGGCTGCACGTTTTCCACTTTCTGAGGCATCATAATGCTGAATCTCTTTCCTCTTAGATGTCTGCTTGTCTGAAGCTACACTTGATTCTCTCATGGCGACTATAATTGCGGCCAAGAACGTGTGTCGATAAATTCATTCTTCGAGACCTGGCTCTGAGCTTATGTGCTCCTAGAAACTCGCAGAACGTCGTGCTCAGGAGGAGAAGCGGGCGTCGGAAGTGAACGAGTTTCTCCTTCGCTACGTCTGAGTTTCATCGTTGGCAACGGGAGTGGATGGCACGGGCTGTACTCTGACTAGTGACTTGTGGTACGAGTCATCTCTGTTCCGTTTCGTTCTTAGTTCTGATTCTCGATCTTCGCCACTAGCATGCATCCTCGATGTCCTTCCCGCCCGTGTCTCTCCAAAGCGTGTGCACAGGTCGTTGAGTGCGTTCGGGATAGTGGTTCATATGGGTCTTGTTCATAAGATGGCGGCATCGCTAGATTGACGTGGGAGTCAATACGGTTCTTTTTGGTGAGTGTAATCTCAAATTTTATTTTATTTTATTCTACTTTTTTCCCTAACAGCATAGCGGGCTGCTAGGCGACTCGGTATGGACCTACTGAGACACAAGCTACCTCGAAGACGCAATGACAGAACCCGAAAATGCTTTGCGCATTGGTGTCACGGCCATTCCTGCACTACGCTTCAAGTCCTAATTTCCAACTCGTATCCTCTATTCACAGTGAAAACACACGCTGCGGCCGTGAAAGGTTTTTATCCATTCTTCTCATCGTACCAAGTTCTTAAGGTCCATTGCAGCATTTCGAGAGATGGGCACATCCAAGAAAACTACTATTGGCTCGACTGGTAACTACCGTGCATGTGATACTGGGAACGAGCTGATCCTCGTTTTACAACACCAGGTACGTTTTATTCTTCTCATAGTGATTTCTTTAGCTCACAGATTAGGATTGATTCACAATGACACATGACTGCGGGAAACTCGTCTCCACGTTTCTTTGATCTTGACGCCGCGCACGACGTCGACGGCGACGTGCAAGCCATCATGGCCAGCGTCAACGGCCATTTCTCTTCTGCTGACGACATGAAATCTCACCTTCTGAGTCTTCTTGATAGCAAGGAACAACAGCTACGGCAAGCCGCGACCTTTAGCCAGCGGGTTCTCGCCCAACGAATGGAACTTGAGGATCGTATCCGGCAGCTTCAGGAGGTCGAAGCTGACAAGACAGACGATGAAGACGTTGAACCTGAGGCGGTACAGAAATACCAGGAGCTTACTGACATGATGATGAGCTGGGATACGGAGAATGCATTACTTTCAAGTGCATTCAACAGTTCAGTATGTCCCCCATCATGTTACTTTCATTTTGCTCTAAGAGCTTCTGATAGATAGAACGTTCTGCTATTACCGTCTCCGAGTTACCTCGAGACGAACCGGAACGTTCACGTACTTCAACCAATACATCCGCTGCACAATCTCGACGGGCCAAGAATACTGCACATCGTGCCGATGACGTCGGTGTGTATGGAATACTTTCCTTTTCTTTTGCTTACAATTCCACCAGAGTTTGCCTTTGAAATTGGCAGTGGCCTTCTCAATGAAGTACGACGACTTCAAAGTCTTCTCGGTGACCGAGAGAAGGCCATTCAGGACATGACAGAGAAGAAGGACGATCTTGATGGTACATTGGAGTCACTTCGAACCGCTCTCAAGCAGCAAGAAGCAAGTGCCGGTGCGTCCTAGCTTATCTTTTCTCAGTGGCTACTAAATTTTAGTGGTAGACAAGTACAAAGAAGAGAACTGGAATCTCGAAGTTAGCCTCCAGGACCTCCACACCCAACATGCCGATACCCAATCCACCGTTCAGCGCCTTGATTCAGAACAAAAGCGGCTCACGAAGCTTCTCGCTGCCTCCCATGACGCTTCCGAGCAGTACAAAAATGAAAATGCCCAGCTTCAAAGTACCATCAAAGACCTCATAGCAAAGCACGAAACTGACGTGGCTTTGGCACGCAAGCATTTCGCGGCTTTGGCGCACGATCAGAGCGATTTGCAACAGGCCATAGATAGGCTCGAAACAGAGAAGGAAAGGGCTGGCAGAAAGTTTGGTGGGTTCGGAAGCCCGGCGACACCTAACACCACCGAGGGACGTCCAGATGAGAACTATGGGTACGGACTTTGGACTGAATTAGTTGCTGTGGCTATAGTGTTATTACTTGTTATATTTGCAGGGTACTGTACCATTTCGATCAATTCGAATGGACTGTGACGCGTGACCTTCCAGGACTAGTTCCCTTCGAATAACTAATAGGCCTGCCATGACTGGAACATGTGCACAAAATTTGAATGACTGACCAAATATTATGTTATATTTTATGTAAATATTGTCAATTTGTACTTCTGTACAGCATAAATTACTCATAAACATGCCTGGAGAAGAAAGTTTTGTAAAAATTGCTCACTTTTAGGCCAAATTTTGTAAATAATGGGACATTTTGACTTTAGTGACCGTGAGACCTTTTGCCGCTTGCCGGCCTTACTTATTCCCTCCGAGTACGTCATCGATCGACTGTTCGATTTGCATCCGAGTTCTGACGAGTTCTGGAAACTTCTTGACTAGTGACAACGACCGCAACACTACTACCAATGGGCGGTTTTCTATGGTTCATCGCTGGTGCAGCTGCGGCCACCATCTATTGCAATGGTCGCATACAAGCAGGGTACTATGCCACCAACCCGAATGGATACTACGAACGAGGATGGACGCGTCAGAGCGCACCTCTTGACACTGATGAAAGGGTGCCGGAAGGCAATGAGAGGGAACGACGGTACGCGTATGGAGCCGGAGTGAGGCTAGAGGGCCAACAACGATTCGGATTGGAGCTACCTCAACAGCCCCGAGAGAGAACGGAAGCTCCGACGCCACCACCGCCCCCACCTCAGGAACAAGCTTCGCTTGACCACATCAGAGAGCTCAGTAAACAAGCAGACGAGGCTGTACGTTTGCCACTTTCTGAAGCATCGTAATGCTGAATCTCTTTCCTCTTAGATGTCTGACTTGTCTGAAGCTACACTTGATTCTCTCATGGCGACTATAATTGCGGCCAAGAACGTGTGTCGATAACTTCATTCTTCGAAACCTAGCTCTGGACTCATGTGCTCCTAGAAACTCGTAGAACGTCGTGCCCAGCGGGAACAGGAGGAGAAGCGGGCGTCGGAAGCGAACAAGTTTCCCCCTCGCTACGTCTGAGTTTCCTCGTTGACAACGAGAGTAGATGACACGGACTGGGCTGACTCGTGGTGCGACCTATCTTTGTTCGATTCCGTTTGTAGTTCTGATTCTCAATCTTTGCCACTAGCACGTATCCTCGGTGCCCTTCGTGCCCGTGGTGCACAAGTCGTTGAGTGCGTCCGGGATAGACTCGTATGATCTTTTACCTAGGTTTCATCCCTGTAGAAAGCGATGTACACACGCGCCAAGGGAATGTGAGTGCGACTTCATGCAAGACATGGCCATATAGAATATAGCAAGCAAGCAAGAATAACCTTAACTTTATTCTGCTCTGTGGCTAGGTGACTGCCTTTCTGAGTCAGTTAGCATTCGTAACAATGAGTGGCTTCGGTGCTGCCGAGTACTCGTAAAAATTGGCAGAGCGTTGTGCGCAGCGAGTACAAATTCAGGAGGAGAAGTAAACAGTTTCCCCTCGCTAGATTTGACCTTACGACAATGAGTTTGGGACTTTCCTACGGTTGATGGTACGCTCCATCGAAATTCAAGTCTATCCGTCCCTGCTTATCGATTTTCGACGTTAGCATGCACCCCTTGGTATTCGCCTCAATCCTTAGAGCGAGAGCAGAACTCAAAATGGTGTTATGTCTCGCCTGTTTTCCATCGAAGATGGCTGCTCTCAGCTCTGACGATGTTCGAGATACGCAATTTACGGGTGTGATTGACCGTGTGTTGCTCGGGGTAGTTCGAATTAGGGATTACAATCGTAGCGATACGGCCGTAGACTGGGCCTGGCCTCGTAGACTGTACCAAAGTCACATGCGGTACTGTCACGTACCGGTGTCCGTGCTTGCAGTTTGACGAATATCTGGTGCCAAAGGGTAAGTTTTTTATGCTTCTTTAGGTCATAGGTACTGACCAAGTTACGGCATAAGATGGACTTCTGTCACTCTCTCAGCAACCGTTTTGAAACCGTATGGATACAGTCGCATATTGGGTCATCAAGGTTGGCCAGTACGAATACGCATCCATATTTACCGCCCTACGGTTGCGGTGCACATCCTATTTTTTTTTGAATCACTCAGAGTCATCAGAGGAACGGGACCACATCAAATCTTCGGCCCCGGCGCTACAGCGTGAGACATTCAAATCAGCTAGTCTACAGGATGGTGTACATCATCTTGCCCACCTTCAGCCACAGTGATGGCGTCTTCCGAGCATCTCCCTTCCCTTCCTCCCAAAACGTCAAACCTAGCAACAGCTTGGGCGTTTCTGGAGGAAGGACTGGATACTATCATGAAATCTGACTCGACGAAGGATGTTCCTACAACATATGTGTGTTTCCTATAAGGCTCTGGTTTCTCTGGCCGATAATCATATCCGCAGGCAGCGTCGCTTAACGCGGCTGTGTTTAATTATCACACGTCGTCAACGGACGAATTCAAGTCCAGGGGGTCGGGCCTGACCCAGACGCCGACATCAGCCTTCTATGATAAAGTCGTTATATACTTAAAAGTCCGTCTCAAAAATATTCGGGATGTACGTCGGCTGCCTTGCCTCCTGTCGCCTTGTTCATTGATAACTTCAACAGACCCACAATAGCCTGCAAGGAGAAGAGCTATTGAGGTACTATGGCACCGAATGGCGACGATACGAGATTCGAGTGAGCTACATGAACCGGCTGGTGTTTCCATACCTCAATCGGTATTGGGTCAAAAGAGAAAGAGACGAGGGAAGAATAAAGATCTACCCGATGTACACCGTGCGTTGTCTCCATCAATGTCTTTGGCGGTATCTCAATGGCAGCAGCTTGCTCTGGTACAATGGAAGGCAAGGGTACTTGACCCGATCAATCAGAAAGGTCGGCTAGCCGATGCACTGTTACTCGCTATTGAACGAGAGCGAAACGGGCAAGTCACTGACGAGGAGCTTGTCAAAGATGTCATCGACTCTTTCATAAGGCTTGGGTTGAACGACGCGAACCTCGATGAAGAATGTCTCGACGTCTATAAAAACGACTTTGAGGTACCCTTCCTCGTCGCAACAGAGAAGTATTACAGGGGGGAAGCAGAGGCATGCTTGGCGGCATTCAAGGGATCAAACTTCAACTATGTCAAGAAGGTGCAGGATCGACTGCGCGATGAGGAGGATCGTGTCCAACGATATGGTCTGATTCCCCAAACACGGGCCAGCCTTATTCCTCTACTCAAAGATCTTTTTTTCCCACCGTACTTCCATGCTGTGTGGACAAGGTTTCAAGAGATACCTGAATTTTACGGAGATGAAGACTTGCCTGCCTCGTTATCGCGCACACGTGAGGGGCAAGACCGTCTCAGGGATAAATTCGAGCGGCAAGTTGAGAAGGCTGGCCTCGATGCCGTCTCCACACTTGTCGTAAACGACGCGGAGCTGGATCCAAAGGCATACCTTGATGCGTTGTTGGAGGTCCACACCAAGTATTCGGCGATCGTGACGCAGCATCTGTATGGAGATGTTGGATTTGTTGGCAGTCTGAGTAAGGCGTGCATAGCCTTCATTAACCAAAATTCGATGACGGCGACCATGAGCAGTAAATCGCCAGACTTGTTGGTCAGATACGCAGATCGGTCACTCCGAAAGGACAACTCAACAGAAGGAGCAGACATAGAGGGAGCCTTGGATCGTTTGGTGCGTTCGTGTTGCATCTTGGGAAACGTATGTTGGTTGATACACCCATAGATGACTGTCTTCAATTACTTAGAGGATAAGGATGTCTTTTCGCACTTTTATGCTGCGAGGCTGTCGAAACGTCTTATATACGGCGTGTCGGCTTCCGATGAAAGGGAAGCTGACATGATCTCCAGACTCGGAAAGGCCTGTGGCGCCGAATATACCAGCAAGTTGCGGCAGATGTTAACGGGTATGTCCTCAATAATATTCAGTCATATAGATATTGCTAATCCTTTGTGTACAGACGCAACAGTGAGTCAGGATCTAACGAAGCAGTTCAATGACGCGACATTCAGCATCATGGTCCTCGGTTCGAATTCTTGGCCTTTACATCGTCCGTCGCATGGATTCACCATCCCAAGGGAGATATATCCCACATATGAGCGCTTCCAGAAATACTACCAGATGAGACATTCGGGCCGGAAGCTGACTTGGCTGTGGAATTACTCGAGGAACGAGCTCCGGACGAACTACCTTGACCAGAGGTATATCTTGATGACGAGCTCGTATCAGATGGCTATCCTGCTTCTCTATAATAGTCACAATCTGCTTTCTTTGTCTGAGCTCATCACGGCGACATCGATTCCGAAGGAGATCATTACCCAAGTCCTTGCCGTCCTTGTCAATGCGAGGATCCTCGTCGACGAAGAGTCTGAGCAGTACGGTCTTAACTCCAGTGAGTTCAAGTTGGGTGCGCTGTCATCGACTGATTTGAGTTTTCTAGATTTCAAGTCGAAGAAGATCCGAGTCAATGTGAATCAGCCTATCAAGGCCGAAGGATCTGGACAAACAGAGGTGATGAGAGCCGTGGAGGAGGATCGGAAGTATGCTATCCAAGCTACCATTGTCCGGTATGTCGACTGCTTTGTATCAGGGTTTTGGAACCTCAGTCTTTTCTTCTTCTAGGATCATGAAGGCACAGAAGTCGATGACGAACCAACAACTTGTCCAGGAGGTTGTTGAACAGGTCTCCCAACGATTCACACCTCAGATTCCTATTATCCGAAAGGTACGTTCCGCTTGGTATCTCAAGTATCGTCTTGATTTCACCGTCGCCGAATCAGGCTATTGACATCCTTCTCGAGAAAGAATACCTCACAAGAGAAGGAGACGCCTTGATATACGTAGCGTAGAATTATTCTCTCCAGCGAGACCCGTTCATCTGTTTACGTTCTTTCTGAGATGCTTCAAGTTCAACTCAGGCACGTAGATCAAAATAAAACTGACAAGAGAGGAGACCAGGATGCGTCAAGGGTGTAAACATTTGTTGGGATTGGTGCTTTGACATTGCAAATACTTAATATTTTTACTCTGCGACAGTACAATAGAAGGTGGAAGCGCGCAAGCGAACTACGAGAATCTCAAGTTCGAATCGCCCACGTGCCTTTGACCGAAGCTCGTCTCAAAGACTCCAGGTCACAGGAATGGTTACTATACCCTTTGCCTGAGCGTTCCTCAACCTGTCAGAAGTCTATTTAGACATACCGTTGAAGAAGGCTTTGCATAGAAACGCACCTGACCACGTTCCAATGCCTTCAAAGGACTTATGACCATTACAAGCTTGCCCTTCCCACCCAACGATGCCAACGCTTGAAACACCAGACTTTTGCCGTAGCCTGTACCTGCGCAGAAGATAGAGTCGTATGCATGTAGTACGCGCTGTACAGTATGGGGCTGCCAGTCGTCGGGGTTGTACGGCAGATGGAAACGGGTGCGCAGATGTTCAGTGATACCCCCTTGATTGCATGTCGGGTTCTGGGGCCTAGGGACCGGCTCTTAATTCCTTGAGGACGTTTTGGAGGATACTTATGACGTCTCTGAGTTCCTGGAGTGCGAGTTAAAGGTTTGGTGGGGGTTTTGGGTCGCAGGGTTGGAGGCATGATGCATTGATGCTGCATGATGATGTGCCAATAATGAAGGGCGTGCTGAGATGGAAAAGGAGCGTCACTGATGAGCAGAAATGTATGCCATAACAAGGCTAAAATGTTAGTATAAATACCCAATTGCGTTGAACTCGCACCTAAGAAATACGCCGCACTCAAGGCTTCATTGAAGCTTCAAGGCTCTGATGGATTTTTGATGGGTTTGAAGACTTTTCTGGGGCGAAATAAATAGGTAAAGAGTGCTTTAAGCCAAAATATTTTATCAGGAGGTCAATACAGTTCCAATCTACAAATAACTCACTGACAGTGTGGATGAAAAACGAGAAGAGGGAGAACGACGCGTCGCGCAGATGGTGTATGAGATAACCCATCTTGCAGCAAGCCCTTCTCGGATGCAGCTTGCCGCGACCACACAACCAAACAATAAAGCGTCGCAAACAAAAGTAGCCAATGAGAGAAGGAGCTTGGAACGAACCTACCATCATGCCTGCTGCTGCACTCCCTCCCGTCGAAACCATAAATGGCCTGAATGAAAATGGCATCAGTGCATATAACATTTGTCTCGAGTTTGAGAAGTCGGCCCCAGCCGGTAGCGTTGCGCTGATGCACGCAAGGATACTGGGCTACTTGATTATCCATTCCCCCTCCCCCTCCGCGCGTCATGAAGTCGTCAAGGTGATACATTCGTGCGCACAGGACCACGCAAAGCTGTCCCAACTCGGGCAGACTTTCCTCAACTATTTCATCCGTCCCTGTAAGTTCTCCTTCATGGTGCGATAAGCCTAGTCTTGATATGAAACCGGCTCTCAGTCAAGAAGTTCAAAGGTCGGACGCCCGCCCCCTCAGATCATCCGTCACGCCCGTCGTTTGATGTACTCAAGAGGGATTTGAGGTCTAAAATTCGGGAGGCACCAAAATCCCATACAGAAGCAAAGGATCTCGTAAGTGGCGACGTGCATGCCACTCTCCTTGAGAAGTCACATTTCCCTGCCTTTTCCAGGCTCTTGTCCGAGACGGGTTTCGGTGTGTAGTGACCGGCTCCTATGATCACAACACAGTTGAAGAAACTTCGGCTTCCACCGACGAAATTGGGGAAGCAGGCACCGTGTACACACGGTGCGCACACATTGTGCCGGAATCCACGTATTTTAACGTATCTGACCAAGGCCCGAGCAACACAAAGGTGCGCCTTTGTCTGTTTTTCTACATTGTTGATGTCCTTATCCTTGCCAGCTCGACTATGCCGCTTCAGTGCTAGCAGTTTTAAAGCGTTTCGGCTACGACATTGAACAAACCAATGGTACTAAAGTACATTCTCTTTACAATGTCATGACCATGGAAGGTAATGTCCACGACTGGTTTGATCGCTTGGAAATCTGGTTTGAGAAGACGGTGCGCATTACGCTATTACTTTTGGTGGTCTTACTGATTCCACTACTACTCAGAAAACCCCAAATTGTTACAAACTACAAAATCTTTATCCTAAGTACCGACGGCGATTACCGGCGGAGGTAACATTCACCACCCCAGATCAAGAGAATCTGCCCGTCCCATCCGAGACACTCCTCAGTCTGCATGCTGCTTGTGCCAAGGTCGCGCATCTTTCCGGGGCAGCCGAATACATTGATAAGCTTGACCGTGATGTGGAAGACTTGAGTGTATTAGCATATAATGGAAGTTCGGGTGAGGTATTAAGGAACGCCCTCTTGAATCACATGAATCAAGTTGTTGGCGTTGGCGCTTAAAAATGCCGTGGGAGATATATACCTGTTACGAGTCGGCCTGTAGCCCGATACTTTTACCTTGTTCCTTAATATCGAATTATGAGAAGCCGACGAGGATCTTCAAGACCGTTGAACACGGTCACCCAAGGCGAGCCACAAGTACGGCCGGGGCATAGGGGGATGAAAATACGTACTGCTGTCAGCGAACACTGCAGATTAGACAGCAAGTATAATGCATCCGTGTCATTTTCATGATTCGTTAATACGGAAGTTGTGAACCTGATGAGAACATAACACTCAAAACACAGTGAACAAAATGCGAAGTAATTGCAGGTTGCTATTATCCGAAAGGTACGTTCCGCTTGATATCTCGCGTATCGTCTTGAGTTCACCATCGCTGAATCAGGTTTTTGACATCCTTCTCGAGAAAGAATATATCAAACGAGGAGGGGACGCCTTGGTATACGTGGCGTAGAATCATTCTCTCTCCCGCGAAACCCGTTCATCTGTTTACATTCCTTTTCTTTGTAGAATACTGTATTTGTATCTGCCAGCATAGATATATTCGACTTTAGAGTATCTTACCTCTCGCGTCCCACTGGTTGTCGACCATTACCGATGAAAGACAGGAATCTCGCTGCAGATCCGGCCCTCACCTTATGGCGAATAGCATCTGCATCCTGCCAATATCCAACTGTTGGTATTTGTATAATGCGGACATCTGCCGATGGTGAAGTCGATTATGAGCATCATGTATGCGGCGATTTGCTACGGCGTCGCGTCTTCAAGGCTGTAAAGGCAGCACGAGTGATGGATGGAGTAATGACTTAGCGCCCGCAAATCGGCTTTGGATCATACCGTAAGAATACTCACTAGCACCGAAGTCGAAACCTAGCAGATGTCTGTTTTATTACAACTCGACAGATGAAGAGTACAAGAGAGGCATCTTATATACGTACAGGGCGTTCGGTCTATTGGTGACTATCAAGACTGGAACTGCACGCGGAGAAATAATATATGCTACAGAGCTGTATGACCGGGTATAAAAAATCATGAAACCATATCAAAAAGAGAAGAACTGGCGCTCAGGATGGTTGTCTATTGTAGACTGACGATCACAGCTGATGCTGACCGTATAAACCATCCCAAGTGTTCTCAGCAGGGAGCTCATAATAAGTGGATGGTCCTCCATCATGGGTGGGCGCTCTTCCATGGTTGTTGGACCCTGCGTCGTGATTGGATGATCCTATTTCCGCGAAGGACGAAGAGGATGCATACGTGGTCGAAGGCTCTCCCCAGCCGTTGTTGTGGTTGTATGTGTTCCCGTCATGCTGGTGATGGGTAAACGATGCAGTGGTGGGCTATAAACTATCATGTAAGAGGCGGTTTCAATACAGAGAAGATGTGAATCAACGAACGTTCGGGCGATGAACGACGGGCGCAGCAGCAGGAGCGGAAGGAAGATATTGGGGGATCACAGCTTGGTTCATTACTGCGAAACTTTGGCCGGAGACGTCGTGGTAGTAGGAAACAGGGTTATGGATCTGAGAGTCAGAACTCTCAGCAAAGGCAGCAGGGACAGGCGGCCACTGCTGAGAAGTTTGCATGCTCTGTGTAGCACGCCCGTGCTGGACGTCAGTCATGCCTTGTCCTTGAGTCGCGTGGACATCGTGGGTTATCGTATCAGTGTTCGTCATGAAAAAAGGGGGATATTGAATACGAGGGATCTCAGGCGCAGCAGTGGGAGTACGGTAGAAGAAAGATTGTGCATCCATGCCTTGGGCAACTGACCCGTACGGTAGATTGGCTACCGACAGAGAAGGGATCATCCTGCGCCCTCCGTCGTTCTTCGAGCCCTTATCCCCAGTAGAACCGCGACGCTGCAACGCGTGAGTAGACTTTCCAAGTTCATACGCCTCTTTCTCCAACTTAGCTATCGTTTTGTAGAAGAGCCGTTCCTCCTCTGAAAGTTCATGCCAAGCGTCGCTAGCGAGTCGGCTGACTTCAGCTTCGTTACTTGGAAGAAGGACCTTGTATGTAGCGAAGAATATATCCCGGAATATGGTGGAGGGGTTCCGTGGACGACGACCACGGATTTGATACGGCTGAGTGGCAGCGAAAGAGGGGACAGGCGCAGCCGTACGTGAGGCGGGCGGGGCCAGGGCCAACGTGCCATTGTGAGCCAGTAAAAGATCTGAGCAAAGTCAAAAAGATGCAAGGGGCATTGGAAATTGGTCACTGACTATTCGGAAAAGAATCATAATGAAGCGCTCCGGGATGCGCGTGAGCCATATGAAATAACGAGTAAGGCCGCGAGCGGCAAAGCCCGCTACCTTACATAACCTCTTTCTGATTTTTTTTTCGCAGCATGCAGGGTATGTTAGCATTATGCATGTTCATTGAAAATGTGGATGGAAAAATACAAGTACGAAAAAGCTTTATCTTTCAAACTTCAAACTCTGTTTTTTGCATTTGTCCTCCAATTTCTGAACAGAGGAGCATCTGTGCGATAGTTGCTTTCAAGGACAATGGCGTACTTACATTCGAGCATGACATCGATCGTATCTAGATGACATCAATATAGTTATATTTTACGGTGTCGAGTGTACCTCCGTTCTCCATCTCATACGTATTTGGCATGTTGTGGGGGTTCAGACGTTGTCCTTCGTATATAAATCTACCATTCAAACATGAGTAACACCTCGGAATTATAATTGTTACCTACTTTAATTCATCTACTTCCTTTCCGATAGTCTCGGCATAGACATAGAATAGCTTCCGTAAAGATGTGGTAGTTTTGAGCTTAAATATGTGTTCGTATCCAGTGGAGGCAGCTATCTGATCGAGAGTTGAGTGTAATGTTACACAGCGACCAAATCCATATCTCGCCTTTATAGTTATAGGACTCGAATCCGGGAGTGTTTGTACGTCATTAATTTCGATTTTGGGGGGAGGCGTTAAATGAGAGGAAGCTGCGAAGACTGACATGTAGGCGACGTCTGTCTGAAGGGTAGTAGAACATAGTTTTGTATGTGGTGGGACAAGACCTAACGGCGGAGCAATGTAAAACGGTTTCGGTATTGTTAGAGATATTTTTCATTCTTGTGATATCATATTCGTTCTCGTGACATTGGAGGTTTTCATTCTTGTTTTGAGACTCTCGTATAAAGAAAGTCTCAGATTTTGTGAATCACAGTGCTGATAAGGTGGCCAACTCGCACCGGGTAGGAATATACCTACTCTACAATGGACGAACAGTTCAGCAAAAAAGCCAAAGTCATCCTCAAATCAGTCAGCTTGCTATATTTTTCACAATATTTAATGGCACTAAGTTTATGGATAGGGAAGACCATACTTTTGGGCCGCTTTTTTTGAACATCGAAGCATTACTTTCACACTGGTTCCCATTCCGTTAATTGAATCCGCCCAGGAGTATCAAACCCGTGACGATGTTGATGTTGATTACTGGTTGGGTCATGCATGAACCATGGGAGGTGTGATAGATACGAATGTTGGGATGAAGGAATTGGAGGACGTATTCATGGTTCATTATGTTCCTCATATGCAGTGGAATGGGAGAGACCACAACATGGCATTACAGTTGATGGGTTTGTATGGGGAGGGAAATCTGTTAATTATGAAGCTGGTACGCGGTGATGAAGGGAGTTCATTTGAAATTGGACACCTTTTTCCAGGGGATGATTTGATACAGATGCCTATGTATTTGAGATGGTCAGTCTATTTTGCTATCCATTTCAATCGTGCAAGTGACCTTTTTTGTAATCAGGTGGTTGAAGGTGGGGAGATTTCTTTTTTGAGATGGGTTGTATTGTGCCTACTTAGAGAAAGTGAGACATTTCGGTAGATAAATGTTGTGGAAAGCCAAAAAACTGTACCATCATGGATATGGATAAAGCTCAAACTCTTGATTGCATCGTCCGTTCTTTTTATCAGCATTCCCAAACCGCCATTGCGCACCTTGTATATGAAAAGGACCTTTATGTTCATGAGGAAAACACCACGACCAGTGCATATTACCACAATGTCGAACACACCATGTATCAGGGCGCACTCCTCGGACAATTGCACTTTGGGATGTGCATGTTGGGAGATGTACTCGTAAGTCGGTGCAGAAACACTGCATTCATGACTCACGTATTGGTAGTTCCCCATGATGCATAATAATCATTGGCTTCGTTTGGGACCGACCTTGAGGGACAGCAGCGGAGAAATTTTATTCAATGCACAAGTTAACACTTTGAGCGGGTTGTTTCTAAGGGATCAGAACAAGGTTAGTTTATTTATAGTATGTTAATGGTGACCAAGCTGAGGACTCAAACATGATATAGAATCTGTCTTCTCGAGGTTGGATTTTCGAGGATGAGGGTCATAAGCAATACTTGATGCTTTACGCGGATCTGCAAGTTGTCATGAGTTTTGTCCTTCATAATATTGTCAGTTGTACAACACTTACAATTTCCTAGTCAGTAGATGCACCAGGATGTCGGTTACCTGATTCGTCCAATGAAATGGGGTCTCAAATTCATTTGCCCATGACAGAAGATATGTTGAGCGAGTCAGCTGATTTTCCAGTCCGTGTTTTAGTGACTTTGAAGAAGCACTTGTCTGCATCAAGTCGATGCGAAGTATGTATCTCTAGATGTCTAAAGACTGCTGATGTTTTGACCAGCCATTCCTAGGTCTTCGTGTTACACGTCGAGGAGCTTGAGATCATTCCGTTTTGAGCATTACATTTTGAACACGTCATTTTAAACATGTGATTTTGTAATATTAAAAATAGTTTCATGTTTTCGGCCCATTCTCCGATGTTCACTATCCAATTTATTTACATTAAGTTTGACTATGAGCCATGTGTAGCACGTCAATGACAACAAGAATTCTGGCAAATAATACCTAATGACCACTTATAATGAAGGGAGGATGGGGGTAAGAGTTCGTCCATACCAGCTTTTACACCTCTCCAGCCTCCCCAATGAAGAATGCCTACATCTCTGAGTCCTCATAATGACCACATGAGCTCCGGGCACTCAATGCCGCACTCTTTATCGTCGCGTTTACTGTTTTCATATAGCGTTAATTTTTGCTCGGCGAGGCGCCTTCATTGGCATGGCATAACACTCTGTGGGGGATTTAGTACAGGACCACCTTGTGGTGCATGCCACGCATTTACTGTGGCCCTGGTCAACATAATTACAGGGTATAGACAATATATATGGCTGGATGTGATAACGTTCATTTGACTTGATGCCTCGGATGTCAGGATGGGAGCAAAAATCGATCGAGAATTGCTTTCTGTGATAATAAATGCTGTCTGGACTAGAATCAGTTCCTGAAGTAGGATCAAGGTACAGTTAGAGACCATTACCTGAAAAACGGAATGCTGATACATAGTGACTGAGCTAGCCCCCATTTGGCAATGACGATAATCCAAGCCATCAATAGACTTGCGAAGCTTGAAGGCATGATCACGACAGAAAATGATCCAGGATGCATACATCCCATTCGGTGTTATGATATTCAAATTATTTGTTTTCCAGTTGCAAGCTGGAGTAAGAACCTGTAACACCACGGAACCAACAACTGATGCGCCTCATGTAATCGAGTGTGTGTGAAGAAATGGGCTAGGATAGATGGTGGCATGAAATGAGTGAGAAAGGACCGTAGCCATGTGGTGACGATGCAACGGACAAGATGACGAAAAGTACGACTGCAGGAGACAATCGTGCGAGGGATATTATGTCGCTATATGTCAGAGGAACTGTAAGACTAGTTCTTCGGTTAGCTATGAAGTCATTGATCTTTTTATAATTAAGATCAACTGGCCAAACACAACTTGTACAAGTGGAAAAGGAGGATGTCATGGCGCAAAAAAAGAAAATATCATTTGCTCCCTGTGGTTCTGAATGGTATGCGAAGGTAAAGGGTGACAGTGCTCATCAATGAAAGAGACGGATGGATGCTCCAATCTTATTTTCTGTAACTCGTGTTCATATTTATGTCGCGATGTCTCGATTCAGCTTGGTAGTTCTATATATGTAGGATCAAGGGTTCATTAATAAAGGTAACGACCCTTACCAAATAGCAAGTGAGAACTGCTTTGAGTGGCTCGCAATAGTATAGGACATCCTTGTGAATGAGACACTGGCATTCACAAGTGAACGCGTCAGCTGAGGAGGTAGGAGAACTAGCAAGACATGGGGCATATTTCCAAAATGGACAAGGATTATTTGATGGATCTAAAAATAAACGACTTGGACAGGTGTAAAGGTAGGTAAACTTACTTTGGAGGGTCGGAATCAGGACCGGCATAAGTCGGTGGAGACTGATGCATAGTTATGTAGTCGGTTTCGATCCTTTTGATAAGCATCTCATCGTTGAGAAGATCATCGATGGAAAGGGGAGGGTTGTATGGGGTTTTCTTTCAAAAATGAAATGGGGTGATGTGGTTGCATGGGTACGAGACAACAAGAATCCTACTGACCTGAGTGGATGGTATTTTATATCGGATTGCACATTTACTAAGATATCTAGCAGTTTCATGAAACAAGGGGATAAGTAACGCGAGGATAGGCATTACGATCAGTATATGATGCAAGTCATGAAGAAGGAACGAACCAGGCCGATTGATGCTGATTTTGTAGTCCGTCTTTTAGCTGAGTTGTTTTCGCTTCAAACAAATGTATCGTCAAACAAAAACAGGGTTGCATTTAACTGAGGCATTAAGTAGTAGTAATACAATTTGAAGTACAAATGAATTACATTACAGGACCAGAAGGTAGCACAGAAACAGGAATATCAGTTATGTCACCAGAATATCTTTCCATTACATGAGTGTCATCCACTCCAAGAGGAGTCTCATCTCCAAAATCTTCATAGAAAGAATCGAAAGGTGCTTGTGCGTCTTTACTGTCCTGAGTTTCCAAGTGAATGGCGAATTGTACATTGAGAGAGATGCATTCGACATCCTCGCAGGACCGATATCCACCAATCATAAGACTACTAACGCGTAGTCCCCAAACTTGATATCTGCCAAGGGAAGAGCAGGATAATGCGTCAACGCAAACTTCGAATGGCCCAAAAACATGGGAACTTTGTGAACATCAGACTGATGGAAAAGCAGCGCAGATAATCCCTATATACCTTCATGGTTCCAGGCACGGATCGCTAAGCAGGGTATAACGATTAATACGAGTGTGATTAGCAACATATTGGTAACCACTCATGTGGTCCATGACTCTCACCATTCATTGGCACCGGGGTCGAACCTTTGGCTCTTTCTGTCCTGATAAAAATTAAAACCAGTTTAACTTAATAGACTGGTCGAAAGACAACCTTCCATGGGTTTCTGGTAGGAAGAAATGGTTAATCCATCTTTGTATACACTGAAAAGGTTGTTGAAAGCGCAATATCTGGAATATAACTGCTACACATCGGGGTAGAAGGCGATCCAGTGGTTGAATGTTGATCTCTTTGTTGTATTCTCCGTTCTCCAGACTGCAATGCGTTACCCGTCCTACCATGTAGAAGCTAGCATCCGCATTATCAGAAGCGCGTACAATCTTGCGACCGTCGTGGGAACTTGTTCATGACACTGTAACGAAAAATTCCTCGCGGCTGCACTGAAAATAAATTGTATAGGATGGTTCCTTCCGCTGTGAGAGCATATTCAAGATGCGTCTGTACAAGTTTCAGTATATTCAGAATAATGTAACCTATATCAAAAGCACGAATGACTCACTCTGCCTTGTTTTCATTACCGCCAAGATGATCTGCAAGGACGAACGGAGTGATGGGGGTATGGGCGTAGGATCGGCTGTATGATATTCCCAACTCGCGAACGTGTGGCAAAATCATCACAGGTTTACTCGACACAACGAATGGAAGAAAGAGTTGAGGTTACTGTGATCAACAATAAGCAGATGACTGAAGAAAGCGAAAGCTTACGGTTGGATTACAGGAGTCGGGATCGCTTACGTTTGTTCTCTGCATCCTTTTTATCGCTACAAAGCACGATCAGACAACTACTATTTCCAGAAGTGAATCTCTTACTGTTTTTCTGGCATGGCATCTGTCTTCGATGATGTCGGCACTTTCCCTGTATTTGTGAGGGTCACTGTCAGTATTGCGTTAGAGGGGGCGAACTCTCAAACCACAAAATACAAACCTTTTCACATCTCATCTTGGACGGGAAGGGGCTCGATAGGAATCGAGGAAGTTGGGTTGCTGTGGAACGTCATTCAATGTACTGAAAAGAAAAAAATACGAAATAGTATTGATACTTCTCGGTATGTGCGATGGTAACGACCGATTCAGATTTGTTGGTATCCAAAAGGGTACTGTCCAAAGCAGATCCACTGTAGTAAAATGTATGAACATTGATTTGAGACGATTTACGCTAAAATCACTCATGACACAGATATATCTACTTTCGGTTGCTTTGATTCATTCTCCATGGGAGGAGGCGTATCAGCGTCACGTTTAGTGGGAGAAACCCTGGGTGGTCCATAAGAATCTGATAGGAATGAGGCGAAAGGAAGCGATCACACTCACTTGGAATTCTTTTTGTGCATTTTTGATGTAGTTATAGTTTGTACGAGTGGGATCCTAACGAAGATGAGCTCATAGTGGTACCCCTGCTTTTATGCATGTACATAACAAGAGAGGTGGAACATTAGCTATCATGTTCCTGTGGGTAACTTAACATAAAAACATGCGATTTCAGAATTCAATAATAATTCTGAGGTGTTTAGGAAGGGACAAGAAAGAAATGGCTCACCAGATATATCATGTGGAAAATCAGATGTTGATTCAAGAAGCTGAATGACGGTACAAAGATATCGTTGAATTCATAGCTAGATTGAATGTGTTTGTTGTCAGGTCATGCAAACTATAGTCGAACGATGAAACAATTCAAGGATTTTTTTACTGGTAAATGTGGGCATCATCGTAGTCCAATTTTGTCTGTGTGGTATGCTCCAAGTGAGACAGCGGGTAAAACACAAAGCCATTATGCGAGTCAGCTGGTAGTAGGCGAGTGGTAAGAGGCTCAAATACAAGAGTGATGGATGGAAAACGATGGTCATCTGGAAAGTATACTTTCAATTTATCCTCACACGTTCATTGATATGTACAAACCTCTGACATTAATGCCCTTATCTTGTACCCCATGAGTCGACCTGGCACAGTTGAAGGAGGTTGTGAAGCAAATGGACATTCATACATAATAAGTTCAACTCGGGCTGAATAGACACTGCTCACGTGCTGATGCAGTACTTGCTAATGCATGTTGCGCAAGTCAGAGAGTATGGATGCTCGATGGCAATTGGCGACATACGCGATGAAGCATTAATCGATAATGCTTTCATTGTCAACACGAACACTTCCGATGAATTCGCGTACCTTGTTTGGAAGGACTCTCAGGAGGAAGTTGTACTGCAAGTGGAAGGCATTTTAGCAGAAGCTCATCACCCACCTGTTATTGGCAACGAAATGGAATACTCGTTAGTATTCTTTTTAGTCTAGGATTCAGCATATTTCTAATAACAGGCAGTGGGAAATTGAACGACCTCATGCAATCAGTTGTTATTGTCAGTAGCAGTCAAGACGACACGTTCAGTCGAGCCATTCAGGGAATCGAAGCCATAAATGCGTTCATGGCCCGGTTCAATGTCAAAGTCAATATGATGAATAACTTCGTATTGGGCAATCTGAAAGCTATTCGCGGACAAACTCGATTGTTAATGCCTGTGGGCAAGGCTCGGATGTCGACAGTTGATATTTCTTCAATCGACTATGGGAATGTATTGAAAAATATGATGACCCAAGGATCCCATCAATATACAGAGGACAACGTGGTGTCGTATTTGAAGTGGGGGCCTACCACTGGTGGTGAAATGTACGTGTTATTTATGTATCCCATGTTAGACATATATTGAGTACTCTTCAGTTTCGTGTCGGACATGAATCCAGCTCTGCTGAAACCTGGGCACATCGTGGATCTGGGCTTATCATTCAGATTGATAAAAATGCCGCGTCGAGTACAATTTCAAGCATGACTCGACTCTTGTACGGCCATCGAATGGGGAGGCATCAAGGTACAGTGTAATTTTTAATGCAGTAAACCAAATCTAATGCACTCAATGAAGATTCTAAAAACAATTTCAAGGATGCAAACAAAAGAAGATGGCCCAGTACAAGGACCTCCCAAGAAACGTTTGCGGTGTCAAAAGGATGTAGCATGAAAATGGGGGTGGTGGACACCAAGATGGATGGCATTTCTAACATGATGGTGCATATGAAGACCTAGTATATTCCAAAGAAGACTGATTGAACATGCGTATTTTAATGTGTATAATAAGACCCGTGGATAATGTAAAGATTAGTTACGTTTAGTTACGCGGTAGTGTCATCATTATCAGTGTGTACATTAACAGTGATCCTGGAACTGTCCACGATGAGAACAGGTAAATAAGGTTATTCCACATCATGCGAATGTGTATGTCCTCCGCACCCGGATTGCCATATATGTCGATGTCGATGTCGGTTAATGCAGGAAACAAGA